CCGACTAACTTGCTCGTCAATCTAGCTAATATATTCTGCAATTTATTCTTATTATTCAATACCACTTTGCAAGGTCTAATGCTAACGGTCATTAGTTGTAGGGCTGAGCTGAAATGCGACGATACCGCTCTAGTAAAACTCTATTAGTTAAGGAGAGGGCGAAAGGGTTGTTCTTATGCCTAGCACTGACACACACGTAACTTGCAGAAATCACATAATGTGTATACCTACCTAAAATTACCTAAATGTATAAGGCATGGAATTATGCAAGCTACCTTAAGTACGTAGGTACTAAGGAGGTAATTAGGTGTATGTACCTCGCGATCGAATACATGTATACGCTAATGTTTTCATGTGCGTCTCTTTTCTTATTAACCTTAGGTCGTGGTTTCTCCGTGTGTTTCCCATCCCTTTGCTATGGAAATGCAGACAAGACAAGGAAGTGACAGAGTCCTATCGATAAGGCTTTTTACACAAGGGTACCTAGCTTTCCTACATGTCAGGGTACACCCTTCCTACCTTTGAGGACAGTCACCGTTTACGGCGTCTGTCTGCCAAAGATGCGCTTCCCTTTCCACAACTCTAATGCTTCCAACATAATATTCTTTTTTTTTTTTTTTTTGCGTACGTATGAGTTTCAGCTCTTACGCACCATAATGGATACTCGTCTCCATAACTCCTCCTCGCGGACGCTCCCCCGTAATTACTCAGGTGAAGATACTGCCCATCCCCTGTAGCATGTTGACGAGGAATGAGATATCACTGCTCAGTGCTCAGGGTCTCTTTGATAATACAATTTTTTATCGCCCCATCGCCTCGTCGCTTCATCGCGATCAGGGTTCCCCGTTGTACAGAAAAAGCCACCTCATTTTCACCCTAACCTATGCCTGAGCCGTATCCACGCTTCTGAGACTCCAATACTGGGTCTCGAAAATTATGGATAGAACTATGCAGGAAGCCGTCCCGGAGTTCTAAGTTCCAACTGATGACCGGACGCCGAGATCAGGGAATGAAAGTATGGAGTACAGGAACCAACTTTACTTGGCTGGTGGAGGGCATCCTACCAAGGTCTGTCGGGGCCATTATGCCAGGTAGGTAGCTGTCTACACGCGTAAGGCAAGCTCAAATACAAGCTCAAATGCATAGAGTATCACAGTAGTCCGAGACTTCAAGCCACCTACTCCAGCTTTCTGCACCCTTCCCTCGGTCACTTCTTCATCGTCTCTTTGCCATGTGTGTTGGTATTCTCACGCATGAATTCCCCAACATCTTAATATCCTAGCTTTCCCTCTCTCCATCATAGCCTCACTATCTTGACCGTCTCAAATCATATATCAGGAATAATCTACACTGTGATAGTTGACTTAACTATAGCTTTTCGCATGCATTACCAGTAAAGCTCTGGACCTCTATCAATGCTAGCCTGCATGGTAGATCCTTGGCACCGCCGTGTTGCTTCCGCCACATCGTAAGGTCGAATTTGTGCTCGCAAAGGACGTCTCAAGGAACGTGCCGATTGGATAGACCCATGTTCAGCCAAACAAAGGCTACGGCGACGGTACAGAATTGTACTGCATGTAAAATTTACCTAGATTCTGACTTCTCGGCGTTTTACCCCCCCCCCCCCCCCCCTTGTCTTTTCACTACCTTGGTACGTATGGATAACCTTCGTAAGTAACACGTCTACATCTTCCATTCCAATCAGCAGACTATGAGAAGCATACCCGAGACTCCAACGGTCGAGCCGGAGTAGCCTGAGCTACATTACGACTCTAGCTTGCGAGCTCGTCTCTTGATGGTGTATAGTCTAGGCATTTATGTATATTGTATATGCTCCCTTGCAACGGAATAGGCTAACAGCTTCCAGGTGTAACTTGCACCACTTGCTCGAGGTATGTGGCCTAACCTACTATAATATTTGCTATGAGAAGTACCCATACATAGCAACACGGCTAAACTACCTAATGAGCACGCTCTCCGTGAACGGGCTATCTTAACATATCGGCGTGGTTTGAGATCACAGGTTGAGCATAATGCTCCCAGTATGGCCCATCTAGAGACCACCTTATATCTGGTTGTTATGATACAGCCGCATATATGGATCGCCTTACAACATAGGATTTCCATTGGTTAGCCATTGGGCATCGCGCGATGAGATTCATAAACCTCATGGAACCCGACAGTGGAACATATGCACACTAAATCGAGGTACTCGGTTGGGATTATGTCTCAAGCGACCAAGAAAAATAGGCCCTCTCTTAATGGTTAGTGTAGATCTCTTACTGATTGAACCTCCTGGTGCGATCGGTAAAGATGTCTAGAAGCTGCTAATGGCATTGCTGCTAAATACAGCTCTTAGGAGTTTTGACACTGAGCATCACGATGACACTCACCAGCAAAGGCTGTTCAAGATGGTATATTGGCCTGCACAGAAATCTCGATGGACCTCATCAGTATACCCACCCCATCTACCCTGGCTTGCATGCTCGCCTTAATCCATGTTGTATATCCCATAATGGCCCAATATTTTGTCCTTCCCACCTCATCGCATGAGCCGACGCTGGTTCGCTGCATGAGTTTATGGCACGTGGGTAATCAAGGCAGTATCCGTCCCAAATTGGGAGGTTCTTATTCACGGTATATTACTTAGCTGGACTCCATCCGACGCTATATTCCATTCTGAGCCAACAATAGGCGTGCTCTAGCACCCCCATGCACCAACTAGAAGTGCATACCATATCGGATTCTATTGACAGGGTGTATCCGCCCCGGCTTGGAAGTCACGTAGCTTCCCTGCGCGGCCTTCCACCGCCGACAGGCCAGCTTCGGGATAAGGTTGCTGCATAAATATCGCTTATATAAGTGTAGGTAGGTACTCGTCATAATATGTGATGTCCCTCGGGGCAAGTTTTAGTCGACCGAGAACCAGTATCCTTTGAATTCAAGCGAGAGGCTTGTTTCTATGCCGTGCTCGTTTTCCGCATCCCAGCGCCAAGAGTTATGGATGGAGTACTTGGGCACAGTTATAGTATATTATACATTGTATGATATCTGTCTTGCTCTTCTAATCCTTCAGTGGGTAAATTCTGAGGATGCTTGGTCATTTGCTACCGACGGTAGCTGTCCCGTTAGCTCCAACCGCTTATGGAAATATCGGACAAGGTTCAACCAGAGTTTACCACTACCGGCTAATACGAATCTTCCAACAAGAGGAACAGCGTTAGCCACCGAGCAAGCCCTATGATATGATCTTGCTAGGAAATTCTATGCGGACCCTAGTTTCTTATGCCTTTAATATTTGAGGATACTGCACTCTTACTGGTCGGAATGTTCATAGCGCCTACTCGCCCGCGGAACTTGAGCTTCACGAACCTCTGGTCTTTGCGGGACTAGCTCAGCCGTACTTTGATAATCCGCGGATGCGTGGATGCCACACTTTGAATCCCAAGAAAGTTGGGTAAACTTTTTCTAAGTACAACTATCGGCAAGTATGTCTGAACCCCCTTGCTAGATACAAGCTAGAATGCGAGTTGGTAATGAGGCCATATGTGCCGCACATCGCGCGGAAATGGAACGCTGGAGTCGGACTCTATCCATCGGCAGAAGGACCGATGCATCTCGCTGCCTCCGCCCGCACCCCCACGTTCTATCAAACTTTTCCCCTGCTTTTTGACTACAATCGTCAAGTCCCTTTCTTCCGAATACCCCATGACATCTTTGTCATGCGGGTTAGCTGGAGTAGCCACGAGCGTCTCGATACTACTTATGCTTTTTTAGCTAGTAAAGTCCATCTCAACTTGCATACTGACACTTGGCTCGAGACAGATGTAGGCCGACACCTTTAGAATTCAACTAGTATAAATATGTAACATCGGATGAGTAGCGAAAGTCGCTTTTAGGGCTTGGGGCTAACAGCCTCTTCCTCCATAACAACCTTATGGGAAGTGTCATCAAACTAAGCTTTTACAATACGGCCTATCCTATCCGTATGAACGTCGGGCACGTTGGTGCCCGAGAAAAAAAAACAAGTTGTGATCCATGCCAACAATATGCGTTGGCGCCTCGGACCGAGTTAGGGCCTACTGCTACTGTATGTATTCCACTATTCAGCACTTTTTCGTAGAGTCGCCAATTATCCCTCCCTAGTTGCAGTATGCATATCAACAAGGAGAACACAGCAGAGCGGTATACTTTGTCTGTCCTTGCCGAATCTAGCAGCGCGTTTGAGGCAAAGCTAAGTGAGCTTACAGCTCCTAGGTGCATTAAGGCTTGAAACTCCGATGTAGAATACCTACACCGGACCGAACATTGCAGCACGGGGGAGAGGAGACGATTTGCTTTTTGAAACTATCCACGGGGCTTAACCGGATATGCTCCAGAGTAACAAGCTCCGTAAAATACTTGAATGTAGTTTATGCTGACAGTATATAAGGTAGTCAAAGACGAATGAAGTTTAAACTCCTCGATATGTAGAAGTCTACTGTCGCTGCCGTTCGGTCGTGACGTGAGCTTTAGCATGTATTTAGTCGTCTCGGAAGTCTTGGATATCAAGTAAGTTATAAAGGTGAAGCTTCAATACGGAAAGATGTATCATTCTATTATCATTGCCCAGCTTGATACCTATCATTATCGAGCTCCTGAACGTGGAGCTGAAAGCTCTATGGTTTTGGATTCAATCTATTGGATGTACGAGTATCTGCAAGAAGTAGTACCTATGAGTCTGTCTAGTTATTTCAAGGAGACACCGGGAAACTATAACAGGTCACTAGCACATTCGTATCTGCTCTGCTCTGCTCGAGAACCGCAAGAATTGAATCGCTCAAAATGTTTTGTTCGGAATTATCATATCTTCCTAATACTAAGTGTACGGCAGACTAACGCGTACGTTCAAAAAGTGATCATCGTAAAAAATACCCATACCCAGGAGCACCCCCTTCCGTGCTGCTTTGTTACACCATTGATCGTGTCTCTCCGTGTCTCTCTCGTTTTCATTAATGCAATTAAACGTTCAACTTCTCCTCCTTGGAGGCGTGCTCGACGTTGGTCACGGCGGCCTTGTCAGTGAAGCCCATTTCGGCGGCGTACGTGGAGTGCGGCACCCACTTGGCGGAGGTCCGGGGCGTCGTCTCCTCCAGCATGCGGTCGACCTGCTCGAGGGTCAGGCCCTTGGTCTCGGGGATCAGGAAGTAGGCGTAGATGAAGCAGAGCGTGCACAGGCCGCCCCACACGTAAAACACCTTGGGTCCCAGGTTAGCCTTGTCCGCGTCCACCATGTACGGCGTGATCACCGCGATGATGCAGTTCCATAGCCAGTTGCTGGCCGTCGAGAGCGCGACACCCCGGGCTCGCATGGGTAGCGGGTAGATCTCGCCGATAACAACCCAGGCTCCACTAGACGGATTATGTTAGCATATTGATCGTCATATTGGACAGAGTTCGATAGATGGAATTTCTGGGGGATAGGTAGGTAGGTAGGTAAGACTTACGGGCCCCACGTGCTGGCGAAGAAGAAAATGTAGATGCAGATGAAAGCGATCATAGTCTTAACGGCGGGGTCGGAATCAGTGACAGTGCCCAGGATGGCGACGATGAACTGGCAGATAACCATGCCGAGAGCACCCCAGAGGAGAAGGGGGCGACGGCCGACCTTCTCCATGCTCCAGAAGGAGATCGGGGTCGAGAAGACGTTGACAAGGGTGGTGATGAGGGAGATCAGGAACGGGTTCTTGATGACGTTGAGCTGCTTGAAGAACTGGGTGCCGTAGTAGAAGACGAAGTTGACACCGGTCCACTGCTGCATCATCTGCAGCGAAGTTCCCAGGATCGTGCGGCGGAGGTTGCTGCTGCTCTTGCTCAGCGAGCCCCGGAAGCAGTTCATCCAGGTGCTCCAGTATCCTCCCGCGGGCGCAACCGACATCTCGTACTCGTGGTTCGCGATGATCTCGGCGAGCTCGTCCTGGATATAGTCGCCCTCGACGGGGTGGCCACGGAGACGCGCGAGCACGTTGGCAGCCTGGTCGAGCTTGCCCTTCTTCACGAAGTATCGGGGGGATTCGGGGAGCAAGAACAGGCCGATGGCGAGGATGAGGGCCCAAAGCATCTGGAGAGCGATGGGGATGCGGTAGGAGCCGCTGTCGTTTCGGTGCTGGGTACCGTAGTCGACGGCCGAAGCGAGGAGCAGACCGATGGTCACGCAGAACTGGTAACCGGAGACGAGGGCGCCACGGACCTTGCGAGGGGCGATCTCGGACATGTACAGGATCAGGATGGCGGAAACGGCACCGACACCGAAACCAGCAACGAGACGACCCGCGACGATAAGGGCGAGACCAGCCGAGGCAGTCTGAAGAGCAACACCGACAAGGAAGACAATGCATCCACCAATGATAGTAGTACGTCGACCAGACCAATCGGCAAGGTCACCAGCGATAAGAGCACCTAATCATCAGCAGTTAGCAAGTTAAAAATTCCTATGTAGGTGCCTAACCTATGTAATCTCTGTTTAGTTACTTACCGAAGAAGGTACCGGCAGACAGGATGGAAGTGATGAGAGACTTGTGGTCGCCCGTGAGTTCGGTGGCATTGGGACCCTCGATCTGGTTGATGAAGTAAGGCATAGCCATGACACCGTTAATGTAACCGCTGTCATATCCGAAGAAGATACCACCGAAGGCGGCGAAGGCGCACATAAGGTAGGCCTTGAGAGTAACCGGAGCCTCGACCCGGCTCACATCTCCAGAGTCCTGGATCACGGCACCGCCCGCCATGATAGAAAAGGCTTGATTGTTTGTCGGGTTACTAACTTGGGTGCGTGGGAGGTAGGTATGGTTGATGTTGATGGTCTGGGGAAAGTTGATGCCTGTTGTTGTTACAAGGCGAGTTTTGGCAGTTACAACGATCTGCTTAGGCACCGAAAGCTGTTATTATATGTCTGCTTGCTTGCTTGGTTGCTAGGCGTAAGGCAGACAGGGTCGAGGAAGGGTTGGGGGGGGGGGGGTCAGGGAAAAAAAAAAAAAAAAAAAAGAAGTGAAGGATGAGCGACAAGGAATCGAAAAAGAGAAAAGAGATGTGACACATCAAGGGGAACTAGATCTTTTTAAATATGTAATATGCGCGTACGTTTGCATGTGTGTACGATCTCTTGATCCCAACACTACGGCACAGTTTATTATTACTATGACAACTACTACCACTACCACTACCTTTACCAAGACCACCACTACCTCTACCAAGACCACTACCACCTCTACCAAGACCATTACTACTACTACCAAGCCTGTTACTAGATCTATTCGTCCCAGACTTTTCTTCTCCTGAAAGACCCACCTCCACCTCCCCGGACGAGATGGAAAAGCCGCTAGAAACCCCCCCAAATGGGATTACCCACAATCCATCCTCATCTCCAGCAAGCGTCTCCACGCGCACGCACGAGGACAACCCGCAAAATGTCCAGAGCACTCCAGACCCCCCAGAAAGCTATCCCCTCGGGGTTATGACCTTATAGAACTAGCTCCGACCTTTAGTGCGGGTATTATTAAGTTTCTAGAATTTTTTATTTTTATTATTATTTTTTGGACGAGGTTGCCGGACCTCGGGAGGCAAGCAGGTTGCATTCATCCCGATCTTGCTCTGTGACACGCGTCATGCACCCCTACAGCAGTATATTGACCCCCACAAACATGTCACATGCTACTCGAGAGAGAGAGAGAGAGCATATTTGTTTTGGCATTTTATTCACTGGGTAGTTATCTGATATTGATCAAAGCCATAGTCATGATTGCTTCGACGCTGCAAACCCTTAGGAGGACTTGATTTCCGGACGGACACGCGCGTACGTATTTCGATGTTTGTCCTCGGTATAAGCCATACGCGATGATCCATCCCATGGGGGGAATGGGGGAAAGGGGGGGGGGGGGAGAGAACAACTCGGGGATGTAATCCTGCAATGGGTTAATGTCGAAAAAATGTCACCTCCGTGACATGAAGCTCAGCCGCAAAACTCGGTCTAATAGGCTCGTATTAGGGGTCGAGAGCAGGCGGAGAGAAAGGCGGAGTGTAGCACCCAACCCCGACCTGGGACCCCGTACTACGGACGAGCCGATGGAAAAGAACTTACACTATGCTATATACTACCTTACTACACCAAAGAAGGAAAAGGAAAAGAACAAAAAAAATTAAGGTCTGGTCCTCTTTTTTTTTTGGCCTCTTCACCGTACCCATTAGTACTTTGACGCCATGGATTTCTCCATCTTTGAAAACACTTTCATACCGGGCCGACCGGTGAGAAAGAAAAAGTACGGACGAGAAGAAGCCTATCTTCACTACACTACACTGCATACATGTGCTACACAACCTACAGGCAAAAAAAATGTTGTATCGCGTTCATACTATCATCATACCGCTTGAGCAACCTTGGAGAACGACCGACATCCACACACATACATCGCATAACATCGCATACTATAGCATACCACAGCATAGAGTAGAGACAGTAGAGACTGAGAAGATTGCTGAATCAAAGGAGTCTGTCTGTCTATCTGTCTGGTGTTGACTCGGCTTCATTGTGGATCCGCGGCGATAGCGTCGGCCGTTTTGTCGTTGGTTCGACGGGGTCCCTGGTTGGATGCGGCTCCGCGCACTGATATTTCGCGCTTCGTTATTGGTCCAAGGGGGTGGTGGCCCCGGGGATTGCAGGCTCCCCATCATCCATCTCTATTTTAGTTGGGGTTCTAACTTAGGAACTATCTAACGCTATGATGGGTACGCTCATCTCCCGCGCCCAGTAGGAGGTACATAGGTATTTCGTATGTTATGTTCAGGGGTAAGAGAATATATATATACATAGGTACCTAACCTTATATCTTATGAAGAGTACTAGTTATACGATAGTAATTGACAGAGTCGTAAAAAAAAAGGATTTTATGGCATGGGGGTACCTAATGTAATATTGATCGATCTATTAACGTTCTTGTTCCCCAGTTAATTCACTAGGTACTATCCCCAACCTTGGAAACTTGGGCTTATTTTCCCCTGGGCCCGTACTTTTGGTAGCGGAGACGGTCCGACTCGGTTCTATTTTCTCGATGGAAAACTCGAGCAGCGACAAGAACTTGCAATTGGTCTTTGCGCGTTATGGAAAAGGCTAATCCGTACCTAAGCTATAACTAAGGGTGTTAAGGAATTAATCAATCAATTAATTCAAACCATCGTCTTGGGTCTTGACTCTATATAATTCATCTTATAAGTGATTGACAATCTTGCATATCAAATACCCATCATCATTATTTTCTCTCGCCGACCACACGCTAATAACAAACCTGCACCGGCACCTGCACCACACGTGCTGTAATAAGATCTACGCGAATATACCTATGATAGATCCTTGGCACTTGCTAAGCCAAGCTAGAGAATCTAGACAAGGTACAATACGCCGGTGGCGGTTTAATAACAGATTTTTCTGGACTCTTCTCGGCAGAGCCGGGTCCTTGGTTCACGACTGGCGCGGTTGTTGAAACATTTCACCGCAGTTCTTTTTCTTTCACTGTCGAGCATTGAAATTAAGTAACTCCTAATGAATATCCTTAGATTTTATGCTATATAGGATTATTATCTAATTATTACGAATTCTTGTACGAGATTGATTGAAGAGCTTGGATTAGATGTTTAATTTATAAAGTACCTAACCTATGATTAAGTTTGAAACTTATTAACCTAGGTATTCGTAATTCTTTAACAATATGCGGTCATAACATAAGTCTAATCACGAACACATAGCACATCACATTTTATTAGCAACGCACAAATTCTTATCAGCAGCAGCAAACCAATTCTCTTGAATACATAGCGTCGGCCGCGCATTACCTATCGCGCGCAGCAATCCGCATTACAATACACATTGAAACATCAACATACATGGATGGCATTATGATATTTGTTTTTGATATCAACCAACTTTGTCGTCCTCCTCTCTTTTCCTTCTTATCTTCCTGTCTGATCTCGTTCTCATCTCGTCTTTGCGGCACTTCTCGCGCCTTATGCTGCCAAGCGTAAAAAAAAGTAAAAGACAGCCTTTGCGTGAGAATGTCAAAAGTCAAAAAAACATAAAAAAAACATGATCGAAATCATTTCCATGCCGGCCGTGCAAAGACGCAAGAAAGAAGAAAAAAATTTACAAAAACAAAAACGCAGTGCTCCCTATCCTTAGAACCAAAAAAAAAAAAAAAAAAAAAAAAAAAAACATAATAAACACAACGCCACACAAATGCAGTCAAGACGAGAGTTATGTTGGTATATAGGTGGTACTGCGCACCGCCGCCACCGCCCGGCCTCACTGCACGTATACAAGCCACCGGCCGCCATTAGATATAAAAAAAAAGGCCGTTGCAATGCGTGGCCTTAGCTTCGGGGTCTAGGTCCAGTTCCAGGTTTCAGGTTCCATAGTCCGGGTTCCATTCTCTCCTTTTCTCCTCCGTGGGGCTTTTCACCCACACTATCGTATCACCACCCCCCTCTCCCCCATCTTCGGTACCACAGTAGCCACGTGCAACAAGTATTAGCAGTAGTATATTTAGTAGTAGAGTAGTAGAAACCCCGGAGTTTGAAATGGGGTTTTAATTTGGTTCGGTTTGGTTGGACAGCTTAATTTAGTTTCCTTTTTTTTTCTTTCTTTTCCCGTTCGTTCTTGTTTAATCCGGTTTTCGGTTCCGTATCGTATCATACTATTTTGTTTCTTCCCAGTTCCCCTCCTCAGACGCAAACCCACTCGGCAAACACGCACCACCGCGCCGTTCGGTCGGCGAGCACCAGGCCGCGCCAGACGCCGCGCTCGGAGCACTTGATGATGGTCTCCCAGGTGCCGCCGTCGCTGGCCTCCTCGTCGGCGGCGGCGGCGGCGCCTCGCCCGCCCACTCCAATCCCGGACCGGCCCATCCGCTCCTCTTTGCGCATGAGCCGCAGGATCTTGCCCCCCGGAGTCTGGATCGCTAGCTTCGCCGGCTTCTTCCCCGCGATGCTGCCCGTCGCCGAGCTCGGGTTCGACCCCGCCGCGCTGCTGCTAGTCATGCTCATGGCGCTGGTCGGCCGCGCAAACGGCACCGGGCTCGTGCCTCCCGGGTTGCTGCTGCCCGTCCCGCCTGCCGGGCTAGACGGGTGCTGCCGGATGACGAACACAAATGTGTTGTTAAGCGCTAACCGCTGACATTGCGGCTGAACGACGTAGATGTCGTGGCGCTGCGCGTGCGGTGTCGGGTGGCGAGTAACGAATTCGTAAGGTGGGTTTTCGCCCGTATGGATAATGGGTAAGGCGAATGCGAGAGGGTGCGGTATGTCTTTAATACTATGCATCAGTCCACGCTTGCCGGCGTACACTTTCAAGATGCCACTGCCTTCGTCTCCTGGAAGGAGCGCCTTTACGGTGTATCGTTTGATACCGCCGTACCAGTCGGCTTGCGCCAGCGCGCGTTTCTTCACTACTTCGCCGCTTTCGAAGAAGTCGCCGTCCGCATCTCGTGAAAACCCTTTGGTCTCGACTTCGGCTGCCACTTCGATATCGGGAGGCACGTTGAACTTGATGTGTACCATCTCAAGATCCTCGAGGCGGGTTAATGACGTATTATAATCTACCATAGAGATCATCTGCTTGAAGAAAGGAGGACAAACACCAGGTAGGTTGAGTAGTGTTTCGTGAGCTACAGGCGGGCAGATATGCTGTTGACTGTGGTGCTCAGGAATGTGAGTCCAGCAAAGCTCGACAGGTCGAGTAAGGAACCACCACGACTCCGCGGTAGAATTACTAGCGCTCGAGTACAGGTTTCGGCGTGGGTTTGTAGGACTTGCAAGACAGCAATCCATCATACGCCATTCATTATCAATAATGACGGCGTTCCACCAATGGTTTGACCGAGGCATTATACCCGTTTCGGGAACCTCTCCCGGAGTCTTAAGGTAGCCACGAATAACTTCAGAGTGTATACCGATTGCGGAACACATCTCGTGGACAAGAACAGCATATTCTTCGGGGCACGCTCGCCTCGTCTGGATCACCCGCCGCGTATCCACATCTCCTTCATAGTCGTCCTCCCAATTCACATTCTCGGCAACCCAGGTGAAAATTGCCCGAAGACGTTGAACGTCACTTTTGTACGGTCTACAAACGTAGGTTGTCGCAAGAGACACAGCTGTCGTCATTGGCGGTAGACTGCTGATGAAGCGAGAATTTTTGTCAACTTGACTCAGATTTATGACCTGGTAGTTGATGGGTTCGCGGACCGGCATGCCGTCAGCTCCTTCGTCTCCTTCGACGCTCTCATGAAACTCGTCGACAGGATCTATCGCCGGATAATCCAACATTAAACATCGATCTCGTCGCTCGTTGCGCTCGTTCTTGCTTAACGTATTTGATCGGTTGACATCTCTTCGTACTTGAACCCAATCCCCATCATTTCTGGCCACCATATCCGAGGCTGGGTCTCGCAAGTTTGTGCTGCTAGCCCCTGCAAATGCTGATAACCCAAGCCCCATCGAGCGTTTAGTCGGCGAAACTTGCCCGGGACTAGGGCTTACAGCAATACTACTGCGACCACTAGCTACGCCGGTTTTCGTTGCCTCTAGAATTCTCTTAATGAAATTTTGCTTCTTGGGCTTGGCGCTGCTAGGCTGCACAAGGCCTCCAATGGGAGCAATTCCGTCCTCGTGGAAGGCCACCTGCGACCGGGGACGCAATGCTGATGTAGAGTGACTTGGGTGGTACGATACCCCGGTAAATGGCGTAGTTGGACGATTTCCATCCCAGTCCTCCTCCTCGTCATCGCCGTCCCTGAATCCCAGCGCGCTCCGTGCTCGTTTGTGCTTCCTAGCCAGGCTACCAGCGCTGGTGGCGCTGATCCCTCCCGCGGACACGCCACTCATCAGACTTCGATTTGTGCTATCCGTCATTACGCTCTGATTACCCGAAGAAGCATTCGTTGAATTAGTCTTTGTCGTTCCTGTTCTGTCCAGCTGCTGTCCGATGTCGTAAAATGACTTCTGTTTGCGGATTGATTTACGGTCCCCAAAGAAGTGATCACCTATTGAAGACTTGGGTCTGCTATATAAAGGGTTCTTGAGGGGCGGTGGGGGTGGAGGGCCAGTATCCTCTTCATGATGCTGAATCTGACGTTCTACGATTCCTGCGCTTGAACTTTTGTGATGCATCTTTCGAAGGCGAGTCTCCATCCTTTCCACGTAATTGTTAAGGTGCGGGAGTGGTTGCTCTTGGAAGTTGCCACTTTGAAACGTATTATCTTGGGCAGAATTGCCGTCGAAGGACCCGTATCCCGAATCTTGGAACGGGACGCCTATGGATGTTAGCGGTCTCGGTTGTTGTCCTTTCTTCTTCGTCCGGTGGTGGACCAAGTCGAAGGACTCGGGTGACCATGGGTCTAACGGTGGCCCAGGTGAATCCGCCTCACGTGCCATCCCTAACGCGTCTAACTGCTCAATTACGCCGTCCATAGCTTCGCGTAACGGCGAAGGGGTGAGACCGTCGCCACCTGGGGAGTGAGGGCTTGGGGAGGGACCCCGAGGTGTATGGTATCCTTCATGGAGACGTCGATTATCATAAGATGCATTTGACGCGATAGAGTTCCCTCTAGTGACGACATGACGATGGGGCGGGGGTGCAGGGGGTGGAGGTGAGTCGCGTTCTGCTCCAGGCCGGTACGGTTTAAAACTGAACGACGGGGTCGGCGATGGTCCTCTCGATCCTGCATAGTGCTGCGCTGGAGAAGGGGGAGGGATTGGGGAAGGTTCTCGTTGATAATTGTATGTCTGCGACGGAATTGGGGAAGGGTTGCGGGAACCATATGGTGAGCGTAAAGGGGGGGCAGGGGATGCGGCTCTAGGTATATACGAGCTAGCTTGAGGAGGGGGGGGCGCAGGCGAAGGTGCTTTAGACTTATGTCTTTGAAGCTCTGATGGTGACGGATTGCGGTCGATACTTCGAGTAGCCTGATGTGTACTGTTCCTAAATGAACTGGCGGAATTCTTCCTAGGCGGTGTGTTGGAGATATTCCTTATTACCTCGGGTTGCTTTATGATCTCGGGCTGTTTCGCGGTTGTGTAGTGAGGCGCTTTCGCGTAAGCCTCGAAGGGCTTTCGAAATATTCGCGACTTGGATTTCTGAGGCGCATTCGTCGGACTCGGGGTGTGACTCGATGTTAATGGACTCGCTGACCTGGTAACGGGTCTAAAATCTTGAGGTAATACCTCGACAAAATTAGAAGGGAAGACGCCGACAGTCTTGTTGCGCCGCAATCTACCCGTCCACCACGATCCATCCCCCGCATTTAGACATTCTATTAAGTCTCCCTCAATAAATCCTAAATCGTGTTGCGACTGCAAGTGAAGTCAGCAAAAGTAAACAAAGTCGCCGCAACATGCCGTAAAAAAAGGAAGAAAAAATTGAATGCATACCTCCCCTCCCCATGAATATACAGCTCTGCACCAGCACGGAAACCGCGTTGGTAGCGGCGGCGCTGAACCCATTGTGCCGATATTTGAAGTCTTGGTGGTCGCCTAATTCGCCAGGCCGGAGATGTGGCGTTGGCGGATGTAAATTAGATAGACTCGGCGGATTTGAGTCTATTCTGAATTCCTAGCCAGCGTAGTCGGCGGTTGCTGCAGGGTGATGGAGTAAATACGCAGTTGAGAAAGTCGGTAGGTCAATAGGGTCAATAGCAGCTGAGGCGGTGTGGTGCTCGTGGGGATTCAGAGGGGATCAACAAGACCTGTGCAATAATAGCATAATAGCAATAATACTAACTAGCGGTAATCCGCAATGCTAGCAATAATACTAACGATAATACGCTGTATTATTTATGGCTATTATGGCTATTAAAGGCGTGCTAAGCCTTAAGCACGACTTAACCGGTAGGGATGCCGAAGGTTGCAAGCGTAGCAAAAAGTAGTAACGGGAGATTCTGGAGAATGCCAGCACATCAAATTCAGATCTATGGATTGTGATTGGGATGTTCTGGGTTCTTGGGCATAATTACCTAGTAGGTAAAGTTAAATTATTAGAAGCTGGGGGCGGTATTGGAACAAGTAACATTTGTAACATTTTAGTTACCTTAGCGCAACCATCGCACAAAAACAGAGGGGTCTCGTAATCGTTGCCGGGTAACCACTAAGCTTTGAGACCCATAGAAATAGCCCATAAATATAGCGACGCAGGGCGTTTTCCCTTCCCGCACTTACATTAAGTACGAGTACATGGGTACTACATACGTCACTTTATACAATATCCAAGGCTTTGGTTTGGGTTAATGCACATATGACCTCGACGACACAAAATGAGGCTTTGCAAACGGAGCACTAATTGCGCTATCTTTCATAATTGCCGAGATAAAAAAGAAATAATATTGAATTTTGTTGCTCCTACTAACATACATAATAATCTCATGAGTCAACTTCCGTTCCCGTCAATTAAACATTTACATGTGTATTCCGTAGATACCTTAGGTAGGTATAAACACGATATATCTAATATATACTGCCATGATACGAGACGGCATCATGCGTGTACAATGATGAAGCACTGTTCCAGCTAATGTACCTATGCATGTACAATTGAACGTAGTGGGCCTAACATAAGGCTTGAAGTACCGATACAGCTTTAGGATCGCTAAAGGGATGCACCTTGTTTACCCCATAAGTTCAATTCACAAATCAGAATAAAGCTGACAGAGGTGATAGACCTAGTTCGCATTAGATGTACTCGGTACATGTACTTGTAGATGGCACTAATGTACCTCTATGTAAGTGCTGGTATGTAATGTAATGTAAGTCACCAGAAGGATAGCTGCGTCTATTGTGTGCGTCCTGTATATGCATCCTTTTCCGCTTTTTTTAATTCTTAATTCCTTAGATCTTTTTTTTCTAAGAAAATCCACCTTAAGAATCATCGCGAAGTTACAAAAAAAGTTACAAAAGGAAAAACCCGTGCAGTTTCCAACCACCCATGTTTTTCAAACGGAAAAGGCTATCTGGCGGACTGATATGATAATCTTATTAAATTTCCTAGATTCGGCACATCCATCCATAAATACCTAACCTAACGTGACCACGGATAACAGCGTGACAAACCGGGATAACTCCTGGAATAACTCCTGGGATAATTCCTGGGAAGCTCCCTATTAAGCTCCACGCTAACCCCTAAAACAGCAATCTGTTGTTGGCCATAGCTCTTTTTGAGCTTGCGCCCTGACTTACACCCTGACAACCAGCTTTTCTCCAACAAATTATCACACATTATTATCACTTTCCTACCAAAGATCCCAACCAACGATCCTCCCTGGTGCTGGTCTATTTGTACGCCGTCGCACCTTTTCCTAAGCGCTTCCTAGCAACCAGATCTGAATCATCCCGGCGTAGCTCTCCCGTTGTTTGCAACAATACATATCAAACCCGTCTTTCGCATTGCTCATTGCGCATTGCGCCGTTTGGTGTTTAGGTCTTGCTGCGCTCAGTGGCTGACTTGCTACTTTGTTGCCTTTAAGTGCAAGAGGCTCGATTGTCTGTTTACTTTTTGCTAAAATACCCAGCTTCAATATTTCGCAACTCTACGAGCTATAAGACGAGTTACAAGCAGCTTAAACCCTAGTGCAGAATCTCTGCCGGCAAAATGGGGTCCGAGGCCATCGCAAGTCATTACCAGGTCCTTGAGGAACTTGGCCGTACGTTTTTACTTCGCTTCAGCCACGCCGTAACGTAGCATAATGGACAATACATGCTAACCTTGTATCTCACATCTAGGCGGTAGTTTTGGAATAGTATATAAAGGCATCGAGAAAGCAACAGGAGAAGTTGTTGCTATCAAGCACGTAAGTCACAATCTCGATTATAACCCCCGGCGCATTAGTCCTAGTCCAAGCCGCTAATTTGAAGCTGTCCAGATTGACCTTGAGTCTACCGAAGATGATATCCAAGATATCCAGGCTGAGATCTCAGTCCTCAGTACCTGTGCTAGTTCCTACGTAACACAGTACAAGGCTAGCTTCTTGCGGGGAACCAAACTATGGATAGTCATGGAATACCTTGGAGGTGGATCCTGCCTTGACCTGGTAATTATAATTATAACTTCGTTTGCGTGGCGCACGGTTTCTTGGATCTGACATGTCATTCTTTCTAGCTTAAACCCGAACCGTCAGTCTTTAGCGAGACGCACATTGCGATAATATGTCGCGAACTACTCCGTGGCCTCGAATATCTTCATGCCGAGGGCAAGATCCACAGAGATATCAAGGCCGCCAATATCCTTCTCTCGGAGTCGGGCAAGGTCAAGCTGGCTGACTTTGGTGTCGCAGCCCAACTTACAAACATGAAATCCCAACGTAATACCTTCGTTGGTACTCCCTTCTGGATGGCGCCCGAAGTTATTCAGCAAGCTGGTTACGACTTTAAAGCCGACATCTGGTCTTTGGGCATCACGGCTATGGAAATGGCAAACGGAGAACCGCCCCACGCTAATCTCCACCCCATGAAGGCTTTGTTTCATATTCCGAAGAACCCACCCCCTAGGCTCGAGGGTAATTTCTCAAAAGACTTCAAAGACTTCGTATCCCAGTGCCTCATGAAGGATCCCGATCGTCGACCGTCGGCAAGAGAGCTGCTGAAGCACCGATTCGTCAGATCTTCAGGAAAAGTGGAAGCGCTACAGGAGTTGATCGAACGACGACGCAAGTACGATGCCACAAAAACAAAGAAGAAGAGCCGATCATTCTATCAAGAAACATTGCAGGACTTCTCCCCGAAGGATGATCAAGACGAATGGGTCTTCGACACCGTCAGATCTGTTGTTCCCAAGAGGCCTACCGCCCACTCTCGGCAGCCATCTTCCATTTTCTCTACTGAAGAAGCATTGCGTAGAATGGACCTTAAGGATGCTCCATTGCAGCCTTCGTCGCCAGCCCCAGTCACAATGCGTAAGGCTACGGTGCGGAGACAATCCTCTTTGGCGCAAATATCTAATTCTGGATCTGTACGTGGTCCACCTGCCCCTGCAATCAGACGTCCCCTTCAGCCGGACATATCGTTTGGCAACTCGGGTTCATCGCAACGTCTGTTCAGAAGAGTTCCCTCAGATAGCTCCACATCCGGCCAAGTGGCCTCTCCTGACTCGATCCAAATACTTTCGGATGAAAACAAGCGCCCGGGAGCTGTTGATGCTACTAGCAAGGAGGCTGTGCTCGGAAGGCGCCTATACTCTAAAGCTTTTGAGCCTACACTAGCAGAGCTACATGCCCAGACATCGAACATGGCTAAGCGGGAGGCACTCGGTAAGCTATCTGACGCCCTAGCACTATTAGACTCGGTTGATCCCGAAGGCGCCTATCATCTTCTACGCAACTTGAACTCCACCATTTCACAAGACACCAAGTTGTCGAACGCATTCCTACCACGGAATTCAGAAGGTTCGACGAAGGGACACGATCCTACAACACCGCAAGGCACGGTGATTATTAAGAGTCAGACACCAAGCAACCAAAACCAGAGCCCAGCGAAGCTAGTCCTGGCGGCTAGCAACCCGCATCTGAAGAGCCACAAAAGGCGGCAGGGGAGCGTGACGGTGAACGGTGTGGGTAGTCCTGAGAAAAGGGAGAAAGACCCGGAGAAGGCGGCGCTGCAGGCAAAGTATCCGGGGCGCGACCCCCAGCCGGGTATGGAGCATTGTAAGCAGCTCTCGGACGTATTGTACGGTCGATGGGTAGAGGGCTTGCGCCTGCGTTGGCCAGGTGTCTAGAACAGCTACTTGGCAGTCTCGCTGATTAAGACGGAGTAAGTAGAAGTCGCTCAGAGCTGATTTACTTGAGAAGATGATGTAAGATAAAGAAGGGAACTGTACACGATCCTGAGGATGTTAATCGGACGTAACAGCAATCAATCCACGGCGCAAGGTAATGAACAGCTGGCGCTGAACACGGATGAATGGGGGAACACGGACAATGGCTGTTTGGACTTTTTTTGATGCTGTTAAGGGGTAGTTCAGGAGGGTCGTAATATTTCTGCATTTGGAATCCTCTATTCTCACGGAACTGCTATTTGCATTGCAAGGGGTGTTTTCGGTGCGTTTATGTTATTATTCGCGTGTATATCAATGTAAAAGGCAAATAGATACAAGGGGGGCTCGGATAGTTCGACGACGAGATAGGAGGTAGTTTGGTATTCCAATACAACAAGTAGTTTTAGGATCGAGTATCGTTTAAACATTATTAAGATGTGAGGTGCGTACGTGGTAGGCTGGTAGGCAAATAATTGGGTAGCAGATCCTGTGGCTTGGCCGCTTAAACCCCTTTACAGATATTAATTACATTACACACACAATTAAATCACGAAGTCAAGTTAAGTAGGTGCGATGATCTGGTAGTTATTCACTCTAGACTCAGTTCTCTATAAGAGAGAAGTTTCAAAATTGGTATCAAGTACAACTGCTTTCTTTTTTTTGTTGGTTTACATTGCTTTTTTTTCTTTTTGGCCTTGCCCATATCATATCATGATAGGCTAGCTACATGTAGTGAAAATCTTGATCAATCGCATCGCCAAAAAGAAAAAATGAGGATTCTCAACGAATCTAAACTATAGATAGCTCATAGTTGAATACCTGGTCGATCCTTAAACTGCCAGGGACAGGGCACCGGTGCCGTAGTCGATGTTCCAGACGGGCTGAGAGGTCAAGGAGTCGAGGGAGCCGAGCTGGTGGGCACAAGTAGCCTGGTTGGCGCCGGGGGCCAGAGTGCACACCTCGTCGTAGCCCCTGGTGCAGACGGGGTTGGCGATGTTGTACAGGACGGTTTTGGTGTTGCCGCAGGTCTCGAAGAAGTTCATGCCGTTGGCGGCGGAGATGGCGAGGCGGCCCTCGGGCTCCTTGATGAGGCCGGCGCACTCGCTCAGGGGGACGTGGTCGAAGGTAGCGGGGATGCCGCCGCCCATGGCGGGGGAGTCGTGCGCGCCCTTGCCGGTGAGCAGGTAGTTCCAGGCGTCGTACGAGATGTCGTAGGCGCCGCCCGAGGTGTCGACCTTGAGGAGATGGACGGTGCGGCCGTTGGAGGTGACCTTGACGCACAGGTTGTTGCAGTCGACGTTGGAGGGCCAGTACGCTACGCGGTTGGTGTCGATCTTGCAGCCGAGCACGCCCGCGGACGACGAGTACCGGTAATGAGGGGTCACCGAGATGCTGCCGCTGTCTCGGGACAAGATGGGGGAAGCAACGGCGGCAATGGCCGAAGCAACGAGAGAGAGGGTCTTGCTGAAGAGCATGTTGACTTATGAATAATGAATGTAGAGGTGGTATAGAAAGACTGTATGTAGTGTGTACTAGAGAGTGACTACTGGTTGGAAAGACTAGTTAAATATCTGCTTGGGTGGCTAGTCTGGTGAACCTATGGATAGAAGATGGACGAAAGACGGGGGAAGCAGGTTCTTATATAGAAATCCATAATACGTGAAGGTATCCTACTGTGCATTCCCTGTGTACAAGATTAAAGGAGCTACTGCCTTCTGTTCGGCATCAAAGTCACTAACATTCACTCAAGTTGAATAGATTGTTGGGCCACAACCTAGGAACAGGAAACTACCACGCCATTGTACATCCAATTAGCGGCCGGCAACGTGCGTACCTGCACACAATCCTTTGTTTGAGCCACTAGAAGTGGTCGTACAAGTGATTTTAGGGAAGAGCTAATGGTCCCGGAGCTTCCCTTTGGATAGGTGGCTAGCAAATTTTTCACTTGAAGATATTCACTAGCAAGGCCTCAAATAGCCTCGCTATTACATGGCAGGAACCTGCTAGGAAGGTACGCCAGGTAGGCCAACAAAGGACGCTACTGTAACTTGGTACCTTTTGGATATGCCCGTACAGTCCTTACAACTCTGTATGTATAATATTCACTTGACATGGACCCCTCTCCCCCCCTTTTTTTTTCCTGCCATGGGAACAGGAAAGTGGCATAGCTATGGAAGGGACATAACGATTTCACGCCAAATTCGAACTTTCCAAAAGTAGCATCCATGGGGGAAACTTGATGAATTTTATCTGACCCCCTTTTTTCTCTGTCTCTCTCTCTGGCAGGATGCTTGATCCACCAATCTAACAACTACAGGCTTATCTATCTCAGGTAAACTATTATGCATTTCAAGAATTACAGTATCCCGATTAAAGTAGTTATAGCAATATTCATTTTGATGAAACTGTAATTTCAAACATCTAGGTAGGGTGTGAATAGTTTCCTATATACAGATATAGAGGCAACATATGATAGTCTAGAATTGGATCAGTGGGCTGCAGAACTTCACATCCTATCCTTACTAACAATATAAAATCCTTGTGCAATGCAAACAATGCCTTCCATTAAATATTCCCCTTTCCCAATGTCTACCATTACACACAGAAAATTCGCGCAATGTTAATATAAGGTTATCTTTCTGCGGCGTGCGTCGTTACTTGTAGATTTCCACAAACACATTTTCCGTACTTACCTTAATAAAGTCATCCCCCCTGTCCCGCCCTACGTACATTAAGATACATTAGGAAACCCTGTCGATATCTCTTCTGTTACATCGTTCCTGGCAGGTGACGTAGCTTCTTAGCCGTGAATCGAAAAACCGATCGTGCGGAGGATGGAACCATTGAATAAGTCGGCATGGGCCGGTCGTCTTAGCTTTCTGCAGACTGCAAGGAACAGACTCGATAAAGACTGATTTTTCATTAACGTGTTGGATATTATTCTTATTTCACAATTGGAAGCATTATGCATATAAGCGGTAGAATCTTTCCTACTGTTACCCGTTACCCGCGATTATTACCTGAAATTGTAGCTCGAACTAGCTACTACGCATTCATATACAAGTTTATCAGAATGTTATTGAAGGGCGAAAATACCAATTTCCCTACCTTCATACCTTTTATTCTAAGAAATATTTTCAATGGGTCTTCAGAATAAAATATTTAACTCTATTGGACCCTCACTCCTCACTGCTCACTCTTTTCCAAACATCTAGTGTGACAAACTCGTCGACTCTCTAGAAGAAGACCAACAAGGCAAAGAAAGAATTGATTGCGTTTTTGATACTAATACACAAATACCTTGGGACTTCGAAATAGTTGTTTTTATGCAAACCATGTTCGTCCATTATGCAGGCTTCTATACGAAACGACAGCATCCCGAGGCATCTTTCTCCTATGTACTCTCGTAGTACAAACAACCGCGATTTTTAATACTTTTATTTTATTCCCTTACGACCGGGACCGAAATCGGGACCAGGACCTGCCCTCTTCAACTCTTACCCCCCGAGGGGATGTCCCTTCTCCGCCTTCTCCTTTAACTGATCCTCTACTTCCCTGCTGGTCTCCCCGTCATCAGGGATCCCGTTGTCTACCGGGTACTTTATGAAACCCTTCTTCCCCACCTCGCTGATCTTCTCCATGAAGATATCCCCCATCATCAGGTACCCTTCGTCGGTCGGGTGGATGCTGTCGTTCCCGATATCCTCCGGCCGCGGTCGCCCCGGTCGCCCCTGGTCGTAATGCATCTCCGCCAGCGCGACCGGCTTCCCTTCCCGGATCAGGTCCGTAGCGGCCTGCCGGATCTGCGCGTTCGCGCTCTTCATACACGGCTCGAACTCGAGGTTGGGCGTCGTCAGCACGGTTGACATGATCACCGTCGCCCGCGGCGAGGCTTCGAGCAGGTACTCGACTAGCTCGCGCATCCGCGCCATGATGTTGGCCGGGTCGTCCTTCTGGAAGCAGTCGCTGGTGCCGACCTGGATGAGCACGAGGTTCGGCTGCAGGTACGGCACCGCCTGCTCCGCGTGCTCGCGGATCTGCCTGATCCGGTTCGCGCCGTAGCCCTCCACGTCGTTGTCGGGGAAGTCGCCGAACCGGTTGAAGCCCACGCAGTTAACTGGGTTGCCCCGCGATGTGAGCCCGTCGCGGAGGTGCTTCCGGTATCCGCGATCGCCGGTCGACACCTCGCCGCGCGTGACCGAGGCGCCGAGGAACATGATGCGCAGAGGCGTCCCGCCTGCTATAGCGCCCTCTTGCGAGGGTTTTTCTCCGCCGTGCGCGATGCGTTGCCATTGATATTCGACGTCGACTGATTGTGTGAGGAATATGACTATACGAATTGTATAAAGGTACCTTATTAGTCTAACTGTGAATGTCCGGCTCTTTCGTGCCGTTGAAGACTTACTTATTAAGATCGTAGCCACCGCGGAGACACCCGCCAACTTATAAATATTCGGCATCGTAACCACTCGGCTACAGGCGAATAAGTAATTAAAAACAGCGTATAATATTCACCTCTACGAACTTGTAAAAGAGTTTTCTCGCAGTTAATTCATATCATAATTGCAAGTCCTTCAGAAAAATACAACTAGGTAGGTTACCAATCTAACAATATCGCTGCCTACGTAGATTCTGATTCAGATAGTTAAACCCAGCAGACTCGGATCGTTTCCAAATGTCAATCATCATCTTCCTTGGCCCCGACAGACGAACCACGAAAGATCGGAAAACACGGCACGAGCTCGGTCGCCCAGCAGTACTACGTCACAAGCACCGCACGAACGCTTGGCAAAGTCGTCGTAAGCGTAAAGAATCGTCGCCAGGGAAAGATCTCTAATCTCGCCCAATGACGAGGCTGCTATACGCGGCCTGCACGTGCGGGATGCGACCCCCAGCTCCAAAACCCTACCGTACCTAAGCTAATATCACAAATATCCCCCTTTTCATTTTCATTTTCATTTTTTTTAAGAAAAACTTTACATATCGCTTGCCTTCTCGGCAACGGCCAATGTCACTTTATCATTCGTGGAAACGTACGAGCGCATATGTATACCTAATCTGTTAACTATACGAGCTGTCCAGATTACTACTGACTTTAAAAGAACAAGATCTTCAGAGAGAATAGATTGATCCATCTAACGGGTATCTAATGTATTATCCTTTTCTTAGACACAAACGTCAGCATCGCGGGTAATGCAATCTTCTTCAGCTCAGCCTTGGGTATAGATCGTCGCTCATAGCCTCACACTACTAAAAAAGGGCCAAATGCGCTCAACGTCCTCGCCATAACCCCGTAGTATCGTCGATTTTCTGGGCTCCATCCACGCCATCATCATGAGGGGTTGTATAGCCCCGTTGAGGACATCAGGACCGTTAGTAGCCTCTGATGGCTGTTCGGGGTCACTACGATGGCCATTAAGATTGTCATTAAAATGAAATGAAAGATGGGGTTCAAATTTTGTTCCACGTCACGGAGGATGGTGTTATACGTATCCCGCGAGAATATCTGGTCGAACTTTGTCGAAAGTCGTTTTGGCTGCGCTTTGTTGATATTGGATGGGAATACGTGGGATGACATGTCAATCGTGGGAGCTGGTGCTGGCCGTTATTCCAGAACATGGCAAAAGGATCAATTCGATTGACCTATCGCTTGGCGAGCCTTTCCCGTTACGAGGGATCAAGTGTTGAATATATATATATAGCATTTCTTTCTGCTGTTGTGTGATCTCTTATCGGCTCTTAGTTGTTTATAACTCTAAATTTATTAGTTAAGTATAAATCTTCTTAGAAGATCCATAGATAAGAAGCTTATTAATGTAAGTCCTGGGCTTTAAAAAAGTATAATATTAAGGTTAATGATAATGACAATGATAATGATAATGAATGTGGCTCAAAATTGAACGAGCATCGCATCTACCCTTACCCAGCAGTGGAGTTAAGTGCAGGTACAGGTAGATGTAGCCCAGCTTTTATCAGGTACCTTTGTAACTATAAGCCCCACTACGCGTAGGAAATCCACATGAATAGAAAATACACAATACAATACATCAAATACATCAAATGCATCCCCAAAAAAGCCATCATCCACAGCTCTATATAGAGCAACACAGCCGTGAAATTTATGAAGAAGCTACCTTAATTGTTCCAAACTGGTACTAGGGATTTTCGCATTTATGCTTTGTAGGAGGACGAGGAAACGCGTGTTAATACGCCACGGCAGCGTTTGGACTGGACCAAGTTGCTGCATCATTCCTCACCATCCCACTCAACATCTATGAGCTCGTATGCGAGGTTGAAAAACGAAGAAAGAAAAATACCATGGAAAACTTCCTTCGAGAATGGAGGCAAGACGCCTTAAATAAAGCACAGTACGAGTCTGCCATTTTCATTGGAGACAAACTCTTAGCCTTGACCAGTGGGTTTGTCGTCTGTTGTTTTGTGTTCGAGATCCCGTACTAAAAATACTAAATTTTACCTTGTAGATGACGACAATGACGCGTTTTGGCTGGCCCAAGTTCACTTCGCTACTGGAAACTATACCAGAGCCCAGACCTTCCTGTCGAAACAGGATCTCATTTCACGGAATCCATCCTGTCGATATCTGGCTGCCCACTGCTTCATCAAGCAATCCCGCTTTGACGAAGCCCTTACAGTGCTTGGTGAGCGAAATCCCACACATTTAATTTCTAATCCTGCCCATAAGCGCAAAACACAGCACATAGGTACACGTGCTGCCTCCCATCATGGAAGAGGCGCCGCCAAAACCCACGAGAGGAGAGATGGACTCTCTGAGGAAGAAGCCGCCAACAAGCGCTTCGAGGCCGCCATGTGCTTCCTACGAGGCATTTGCTATGCTAAGCAGAATGCTTTCGACCGGGCAAAGGAGTGCTATAAAGATGCTGTCCGCATCGATGTTCAATGCTTCGAGGCCTTTCAACAGTTAATGAAGAACTCACTTATGTCTCCCGATGAGGAGTGGCAATTTTTGGAGTCTCTAGATTTTGACGCTATCAACGTTTCCGGAGACTCATCCACCTCGCAAGAAGCTGCTGAGTTTACGAAGATGCTCTACACCACCAGACTCTCCAAGTATCGGAACCCCGCGTCCTTTACAACTGCTTGCGAGACCCTATCAACACATTACAACCTCGCTTCAAACCCCGACTTGCTACTCGCCAGAGCAGATTTATTATATACACAATGCAGATATAAGGATGCGCTAGCCATCACCGATTCTGTACTTCGAGAAGACAAATATAACTTCAGCATATACCCTTTACACCTGGCCTGCCTGTACGAACTCAGGATGAAAAACGTGCTCTTCCTAATCTCTCACGATCTTGCCGATACGCATCCGGAGGAGCCCTGCACGTGGCTCGCCGTGGGTATCTACTACTTCGCAATCGACAAGATCGCCGAAGCTAGACGCTACTTTAGTAAAGCTAGCATGATGGATCCGCACTTCGGGCCAGCCTGGATCGGATTTGCGCACACGTTCGCGGCCGAGGGCGAGCACGACCAGGCCATCTCCGCGTACTCAACGGCCGCGCGGCTGTTCATGGGCACTCACCTGCCGCAGGTCTTCCTGGGGATGCAGAACCACGCGCTTAACAACATGACCCTGGCCGACGAGTTCCTCAAGACCGCGTACGGCCTCTGCAAGACCGACCCTCTGCTGCTCAACGAGATGGGCGTCGTCTACTACCACCAGGACCGCCCCCAGGACGCCGCCACGCTCTTCTTGAAGGCCCTCGAGGTCGCGGAGGATATCGACTCGGAACCCAACGCCTGGATCTCGGCGCGCACCAACTTGGCGCATGCATACCGCCGCGCCAAGCGCTACGACGAGGCGCTGGATCAGTTCGACGAGGTCCTGAGGCAGGGTGGGAAGGACGCGTCCATCTTCGCGTCCAAGGGCCTAATATACATGGAGCAGGGAGGCAAGTTCGACTTGGCCGTCGAAGTGCTACACCAGGCTCTCGCTATTCACCCGCAAGATCCCATCGCGACGGAATTATTAAACAAGGCGCTGGACGAGACGGCTAGTTTGTTACCTTGACATCGTATGTACCTAGGTAATGGCGTGATGTGAGGCGAGGCGAGGCTGGCCTAGTCTAGCCAGCTTATGAGCAACGACGAGTAATACTTACTACCATATACTACCATTAGGTCTAGGTATCTTCGTAGCCTACGAAGAATGTCTCAGATGAGAATGACTACTGCTCTGCTGTCTTATGTTCTACTCCTTTGCTAGGGTGATATTTTTTTTTCCCTTCTGTGTTGAAAGTTCAGCTGCGTTGCTGACCGACTACCACGGCACGTTATCTTAATGTATACCTCGCATGCATGCGAGGCTTGTTGCTGGCTGGCTTGCTTGCTCTAAGTTGCATTTTATTGACAGTGGCGCACCGGCCCAACAAATTTACGGATTTGTCTATTTCAAAGCCCGTAGCCGTAGCCGTTGTTGGCGCATCGACTTTTCGCCGGGCATGACGGCGAATGAATGAAGGATTAATTTTTTTATTACTATCTAACCAAATCCCGAGTTGTTGTAATTCTTTCTTAGGAATGACTTGCGCGCCTTATTGCGCGTCGCACATTAATTACAATCCGGGCCCCCCTTCCGCCTCGATTGATAACGTGATAGGAAGATAAAAAATAAGAAAAAATACATTTTACCTTACGTGTTTACTTTCTCTCCTCGTAGTCCGTGGACGGGGACGCGGACAGGACAGGGAGACGAAAGAGCGGTCAAGTCAAGGGAACTACGGAAATGAAATAAGTTGCTGGGCCAAAATATAGGGGACGGCTACGTATTGCAATAACAATATCAATTGGCGAGATGATGAAGAGGAGGAGGATGATGATGGATAATGGATAATGGGCTACGGCTGAGATGAGCCGACGTTCGTCACCGTCACCGTCGCTTTCGGCCGTGTGCCATCAATCGTCTCGTGCACGGGGGCGAACGAACGAACGAACGAACGTTGGAATGGGGCTCGTCACATTGTAGGTATATCCCGGTTATACGGATGCGTTTTGTGCTGATCACACCTGTTCCTGTCAATATACATTCCTTACATACCTACCTTATATACTTCGTACCTTATACTATATATACTTCGTACTACTACGCCTAGGTATTTGTTTATTTATTGTGTTAGGTATGCATGCCTGCGGCCGCATGGCACAGTAGTACTTATGAAGTCATTAGTAGCCTAAAGTTAGAAGATCCGTTCGTTATATGCTTTCCTATGGTCTGTTATACCCCCTAAAATTAGGAGAGAGGTCCCAAGAGCTTAGTTAACGGTATATTGCCTAAACTATTGGTGCCATAATTAGCGTTGAGTTGCTTGCTGCTGTTGTTGTACATACATGCTGCCATGTGGGAGGATCAGGGGTCTAACCGTTCCTCTGTTCATTACTATGTAACACAGGTATGTAGCCTCCAACTCCCCGAGCCGTTTTTTTTTCTTTTATTTTTTGCGCCGCGTGGGGGCGAGCAAACCGGCCTGCTTTTTTGCTGATCTGTCTGTGTTGATCGCGCTCCGAGCCCGGATTGATCGGATGATGAATCGTATTTGTACATAGACCTGACTTGAACGTAAAAAACTATTATTGCTTTAGGTAGGCTTTTTGAGGAGCATCCTCAAAAACGGCATCTTCTTAAAAGCGAAGATACTAGTAATATTAAACAGAGCCCGGAAAATGCCGTGGCGTTAAGGCCGACAAGACGTCTTGTCACCCGTAACCTGTTCTTGGGAACGTTGGTGGGTCGCTGTCGCATCGGCAGCCGCTCAGGCAAGGGAGAGAACAACGATCTCAGATAAAGGGGTTCATTCCTTGCGTGCGTGATTGGCATCCAAGGGCACAGAATTGTCAATCACTAGTATCAGCGGTACTGGTAAATAACCGACCCAATTTTTTTTTCTCTTTCTCGCCTCGCAAAATCCCGCTTGGGAGCTTTGCTTTCAAAACCATGAAGATGCGTTGGAAAATACCTACCTAACCTAGCCGCCTCGTATTGCCGAAGAAACGTTATTGCGGCAGTGGAAGTTTGTGCCTTATGGGAAGAGAATATGGATCATCCTGGCATCATCCACCTATCTAATGTACTATGTATAAAGGGATTTTCAAAAGTTGATTTCGTACATAGAAAGCTTTAGGTAAGATTGGGGATAGAGAAAAGGGGTGGACCTGGTCTGATATCGATCAGCACGGAATTTATCCCACGACGGCTCAGTAGTAGTGAGTTCTTTACGCCAATAACTACCTAAGGTACCTAAGGCACCTACATAGGATACTAAACATGCGGGATTTGATAGAAGCTTTTCATCATGTTGTTGTTTATTACGACTTCATCCTCTGTCTCGGTTTAACTATCTCCACATAATTATCCTTCATATGGGGGTGAATGGGGATACTTCATTCCTAACCGGCCCAAGGAATGGAGTTGCGGGAATGATCCGCGGCGGGGCCGGGCTTCGTTTTTTTATGAGCCCTTTTGTTCGCAAGCCACAACCCTGACCGAATTTTTTTTTCTTTCCAATGTTCAAAGACCCTCTTCTGGCCACTGCGCAATCCGTAGTAAAAAGGGCCGGCCCGTTGTGTAGTCATTTCCATAAGTTCCGCGTGGAGGGAACTGGGCTTGGACTCTAGTAGTAGCTGCTGGGGCTTTCGCGCCGTTTATTCAAGGGGGTTTCGCTTACTTACGAGACTTACCGTAAGTTGTAACAGTCGAAAATGCCTCGACTAAGTGAGGCGCCCATGTTTTCACCACGCTATGTCTCACATTGTGTTTTTAGACTAGGTTGTTGGGAATGAGATACCTACCTCCTAGATCTTGAGTAAATTGAAGCAGTGATGAATAAATCGAGCAAATATAGATTAATGAAAACAGTCAGATAGGTACCTAACGCGTAGTAAGTAATATGACTGCATGGAGGAAGCAGATAGGATTTCGGGTAAAGGAAAAAAGTCATTATATTTTCATCAACCTGCCGAATTCGGATGCCCCGGAACATGATTGTAACTGTTGTTCTTGATATCATTGCGATTGACTAAATACCTTATTTACGCGGGGCCGATTAGCGAAATAATTCTACGACGCACTGAGACTTTTACTTGATCTGTTTCAATGCAGTGATATGAACGAGATCGAACACCGGGACGGTTTCGGGTGCTGATGTACATGATCCATATGCAGTGAGTTGATATCTTTGCGAAGTTGCCACTATATCGGTGAAGAGACAACGTCGTCCTGCCGGCCGAAGGCGAGGGGAAATATAAAAAAAGGACGAAAAAGAGGCTCAGAATCTGCAGTAAGGTAAGACGACGAGATGAGATAATCCGCAGTGTAACTTCAACAACGATGTTGGCAGCAGTCATACTCATAAGGCAGGAGACTACCCTGGGTACCTGGTATTCTTGGGCTTGGACGTTGTAATGAGCCGATTGCTACAGTGCCATTGCAAACTCTATCTGGTATTGTATTGTACAATTGTCGTATTCGCCAACGAAAGAAGTCAAGCAGCATTCTCCACGCGTCCAACATAACTATTCCTAGGTACTTTAAATGGGGTATAGCCGAAAAGCCGAAGCCGTTGTATGTAGGTAGTATTTACTTAATGCTTGTTGCTTTTATACATGTAGCCCTTTTTTCACGATCGGAAAAAAAAAGTAAATTGAAGAACACCCTTCACATACGCCACCCGACACCTGTCGACTGGGGTATGGATATGGAGATATAACGGTTAACGCCGTGTAAGAAAAAGGCGCTGCGTGGCTGGGCCTGGAATGTCAGATTTATGTATTTTATGTATTTGCTTGGTTATCGAAGCAATTAAAACGAGAAGAAAAGAAGAAAAAAAGAAGAAAAAAAAAAGAGGCATTCCAGAGTAAATGGGTAGCGGGGTACCCCCCCTTTTGAGTGCGGGGACTACCATTATGGGATGTATTCCGATCAATTTCAACTGGAAAACTTCGCTGCTCTCGAAGAACTTCTACCCCTGATCCTTGCTGGGGATCGCCTTCTAAGACGGTTATCTGCCCATGTCAAAAAACCGCCCGTCATATGACCAAAATAAACTACATACACAACATACTACTAACTATTAGGTCTCTCTTTTTTTCAAAAATATTTATTAAGCTATCATAGGGTAGTGCACACACCTACTACAGGTACCGACTTGTTGTCCCCTTTCCCACCACCTCCTAAACGCGAATGATCGGTCAAGACTTTACAGGCAATTAGCTGTGGGTAAGATATACTCATCCCTGTAATTAGTAGTAGAATCGAGGATCGCTTAGTTATCGATCCCGGATACGCTTCTAGAACGATAGAAGCAAATTGCAATATCTACATCCGCGGTCAAGCCTATCCACTGGAGACACATCTGTTCGGACTGCGGTGCATGTCTACTGCATACGCATTACAGATAGTGGTGTCAAGTGATCCACACGGTTTAACTAACAACCACTTACACTTATATGTGCACAACACATGGGCATCGAACTAGTTGCAGAGAGCTGATTGACGAGTGGCCCAATAGGATAGCGAAGCCCCTGCCATGGCAAACTTTTACCTGTCAAGTTCTGTCAAACCAAGGTCAAAGCGTGCAGACAACTAGTAGTAGTAAGTGCCCAGGCTATCCCGTACATAGTAGAATTATTATATTATCCTCCAATAGGGGGCAGTGGAATGCTTCCATTGGCATTTAGACACTTATTAGTAGTTGCGATAGCTCTGCGGCCGCTGCTGCTGCGGCCATCATCATAGAGGAGAAAGGTGATGAGTGATGAGTGATTGGAACTAGCGGTGGCTTCATGCCCCTTTCCACTAGATCGTCCAAGTCCCAGGTTCTTGGATTGTTTATGCCCAGGTGATACCGTACTTTTGGATATACCACGTATCACTTTGTAATGTATTCTAGGTATGTGTTTTCTGCATTCAATTTTGGACCACCTCCACCTTCGATCTCGTATATTGGACCTCGTAAGAATTTGTAGCGTCTGAGCTGAGTTCTACACTATGGGCTCGCAAGTGGTTCTCCTTATGGGTTAAATCGATTTAGCATATCCTTAATCGTTCAAGTCGATCGGGACTTGTACAATAAAAAATGGAGGTAGTTGTCCGGTTGAAGCTAACCTTTACCACTTACAGATCAACTTACATGAAATTCACTTAATCCATCGACTAGTATGCAATCTATTATCGCCCTCCGCAAATACACTTACATAGTACATACATAACTAAATAGTAAAAGGCACTTAAAGCAAGGCCTGCATGTCTTAGGCGAAACACGTAACCAGGTCACCCCTGTAGCGAGTTAGGAGGTACGTACATGTACCTGTATCCTTTGCTATTTCTGAAACCATCTAACTAGGTTGTTTGTGCAATGTGGTTCCCAAAGCTTCCAAGGGTTCCGATTAAGAGTAGAAGTTTATGATTGGAGACTGAGAGCCGCCTTTATTACCGAGTAACTTTTACATGCCAACATAAAGTTCCTAATAAGAGGCAGGAGGTCGTAACCTAAGTGCTGACATTTACAACTCATAACACAAATAAAGGTTATTCATTGAATAAAATAGCATCATAGTTATTAATACGATTAACTAACTAGCCTAGCCTTAACTTTTAAGTCTTTGCAAAACGCCCGAACAAAAAGTTGTATATCCACTCGAGTCGGGAATAATTCCTTTTTCACTCTTCTTGTCCTATTCTCTTATTCGGCTTTTAAAGCTAGACCGAGGCTTTTCAACTTTTTTTTTTAAACTTCTTTTCTTTCCAGTTCCTTGCCAAGCTTCTGTGGGTTAGGTACTTCTTCTGTATTGCACGTACTCGAAGTTATCTAAGATACCTGGCAATTATAGGTAGTCTACGGGCTGCAGCAATATATGTGCATTTGAACTTACTTACTTTACGTCAGGTAGGTAATTGCCTTAAGCTCTAGAATTAATATCTATACCTCTAGGTAGTTAGAACTACTTTACCTTAAACACTTATACTTACTCCAATTGTATTACATGTATTTTACAAACATAGCTGCTGTAAATTCATCCTATAACGTGCAAATAATAGCAAATTACTCCCCTAGATTACTTTACGTACCTCTAACCCAACAGACTAAGAGGCGATTACGTACCTGTACCTAGATATGTCTCAGGTAATTTGCAGATCTTGGTAGGTGCCAAGTTCGCGACTGCGTAGAATTCTGGGCTACCCTCGCCCTAACTTTGGTACCCATGTCACCCGTACTTTGTACGACGGCCCTTTATTGCGCTAGACCTCGCTAGACCCTAGTAGGCATGCGCACCCAGCTAGCACCCATATGACATGCATTAAAATATAATTAATAATTTCTTAGGGGGTTTCTCTAGCTACCTCCTACCTTACCTAGTATTATAGTGTACGTTAAGTACATCTAACGGAGGGTAGCGACCAAAAGAGCGACAAGCCGACAAGCCTCGTTTCTCGTCAGCAATACTACATTCTCTCTTCTCATCACTCTTTTCTAAATCTTTAACTCGCCACTCCTTCTGCCCGGTTGGCCCTTATGTCTTCTGCAACTCTCATTACAACGTCCAATTAAAGAGTTACATTCCCGGAGAAAGAGAGAGAGAGAAAAAAAAGAAGGCCTTCTACATTTATTGGGAGGATTCGAGTTTCCCTCTAGTTTTCACATCTCCTTAGTTTTCGACTTTTTTTTTTCTCTTTTTTTTTTTAATTCCTGTAAAAGAAAGACCTATTACGTCTTTCTCCCATTGCCCTTCCATTTATTACAATATGCCGTGTTAATTATTAATGTCCCTTGTCCATCTTATATTCGATCTGTCGCTTGCTGCGCGCGGTCGTATAGTCCAAGGTGCGGCAGAAGCCTAACTGCATCGCGCAAATCCCCCCCACTGTAGCGACGTCAAACAGCACGATCAATCATGGAGGGTACTTTACTCGTCCCCCCCGATCGGGGTAGCATAATTGGGAGAGCTGCTTGGAAGGTAATGACCCGCCATAATCGCCATGTGCTCATCCTATAAACTTGGTGTGCTCATTTCTTCATAGCCTCGATATCTTGTCGTCGGTCCGCCCAAAGATACTAGCCAACCGAACACTGCTTTCTCCCAAGTCCTATCCGCCGCTCGTATCAAAGATTCCAGTAATCGATCGTCCAAATTGCAGACGAGAATACAGCCCGACCTCATCTACCTTTCGATATATAAAACAAAGGTAGGAATGGAAAGAAGCCGTCTAGTTTTTGGAAAATACTCATTTCTTGTAGGATGATTGGGAACCGGTTCAGCAGCACTCGATGGCCTCTATCACGAACTGTGTGGTTCAGAATGTTGCCTATCGGAAGCAAGGGCCAATCCTTCCGACTCTTGCTGTTCAGATATCTCCAGATCCCGCTACCGACAAGTTGCGAAAACGCCGATCGAGTCGGACCGCCGGCTTAACTACAACCAAGGAATCTGGACCGACAACGCTATGGTTCCGTCTCGGCGATGATCGCACATATACGCTAGAGGATTGGGCCAGTTACATACAATCGCTAATGCCGCCTGATGTACTTGGTAAACATCCGATAAGCCCGATCAGTCCAATATCGCCCTCTTTCATCAACCCCTTTTCTCCCTCGTCGTCCCGAGATACGGGTGAATTCTTCGGCACATCGAGTGGGAGCTCTTCTAAGACGTGGACGAAACGGCCTGGCAAATCCGGCCATGCGCACGCATCAAGTCGAGATGCCGCCACGACATACACCTCGGGGACACCAAGTATACGCTCGAACCGCAGCGATGTTTCGTCCTCTCATGCCAGCTCAATGGTTCCCATTTCCACAGGGTATACAGGGCAACATTACACGACTGTTCATCCTTCCGATCTTCCGTCCCCTGCGACTACAATTGGTGGTGAATATCAAGACCAATTTATTGAAGGATGGACATCAGCGCAAGGACGGTCATCCACTCTAGGTTCCCCTGTTAGGACGAGAGAAAGTATTAGTTCTGCGCCAGCTCAATTTTTACCTAGTCTTCATTCCAGCTCACCACCCGGCCAACGGGAAACCATATTAGATAGGGCATTTCAGTTACGCTGTATCCCCGGTTCGGACCGTGAGGTGCCTGGAGAAGAAAAGCTGAGCTCTATTGCTAGATTCGAGGCATTGATGCGTGAGGTAGAAGAGCGTCAGAAGGCTTTCGAGGCGGAAAAACGAATTTCTAGGGAGCCCCTCAAAAGTACTTCGGAGAAGGACGAAAGCGACGAGAACGACGGCGTGGACGAGGTTAACGAAGAGGACAGCGGTGGTGACGCTTTTGAGCAGGACTTAGGTGCTGACGAGATTGGACCATCTGCGCAAAGAGCGCTCCAGTTTATCGCTAATCGTCACAGTTCAGGGAGATCTCACCGGTCTCATCAAAGTGTCAGATCTGTGCCAACCTATCAAGAATCGAGTTCCTCCATCCATCGACCGCATACCGCCCATTCAAGATCACGACCCGCGGCTCAGCGGACGAATAGTCAGCCATATATCCCTACCGCCTCGCTCGACCTGACACTTATTCCTAGCAGGGTGCCAGAAGAACCGGTGACGAGGATAAATCATGAAAAGCGACAGTCGGTATCGGATGGCAAACGGCTTAGCTTCAATGAATTTACCAAACGGCTGAGTGGCACTAGCAGTCTCCTGCTTGTGCAAACGAACGCAAGCAACGGCAGCAGTCGGGGTAGTAGCGAAATTGACGGACCCCTGCAGATGACACCGCCAAGGAATGGTGCGTTGAGTCCCAGAGGCGGAGCCATGTCGCCCACCGAACGGGAAGAGCGATGTCGTTGGCGAGGTAGTGTCGGCGTGTTCGGCAACGAAGGAGGCTTCCTATGAAACAGGTGCCCCCTGATTATTGCGTATTCGATTCCTGAGGCTAGCGATTGAACGACCAGCACACGGCTACGGAAGTCGGGTCTCCCTCTGTATTTGATACCACGAATTTTTGCTTGTTTACGACTCTTCACGACGATTGCCCAAGAGCACAGCGATATGATTTCCGATTTATGGAGCATGACCAGTTCCCATGCATATTTGGAAATGTTGAGTAAAATTATTATTATTTTCCATTGGAATACAGTACGACGAATATTTGTTTTGAGTAGTTGGACGACGAAGAAGAAGAACCCTTGTCATGATTTCTGAGCTGAACCCAGCTCCTGTCTGATATCCATTTATTATTTTAGAAAAAGAGACTTTTTATTTGAAGAATAAGAATAGTCGATACCCTTGGGTTATCATGCAGATATATCAACCCATAATCGTATATTTATTTGTCTAGACCAAACGGCGCTCTTGTTTGCCCACGTTTTGTTGCGGTGTGATATCTTATGCCTCGCAGACTCCTATTTGTCTGTCAACCCGGAATATTGAATTCTGCATATGCATGGAATGCCAGTTTAGGTACGACTTACGAGTTTCACCAAAATCACGGCAACCTACCTAATCTTTCGGATGTCGACTACCTAAGTTGAATTTAGGTACGGATTGGGAGGCTCAAATACATCGGATCCGTAGGTACCTAACCTATCAACTATGTAACAGGTACCTAGGTAGTTAATTACTTTACCAGGTGAAACGGCGATACTACCTAATAAATTGGCGGACGACGATTCGGCCGCGACAATATCCCCATTCCGAAAATACGTCAAGGGGAAATATCGGCTTACATGCCCAAGAAGGCGTGGCGTTTCCGCGGCGAAACACTATACGCTATTAAAGCCACTCTAAAGATTCCCGAAGCCTAAGATCTCGTACGATCTTCTCGCCGTCGGCCTAAATCATCGGATAGCTTTGTACTTGCACAACGGTAAGATGGGGTTAAATTTAGACATTGGATTCCCACAAAGCCACAAGACACCAATGGTCTCGATTACCACCGGGGTCGTTTAGCAAAGTCAGTATACACCTATTGTCCCCGTATTTTCTTAGACTTCGGCTCATGGGGCTCTTTTCGGAATTGGCTTCTTTTCGACCAGGGCTTAGAAGAATGCCGCTAACTACCTAGGTAGCTTACATCGTAGCCGGCTATGTGGTAGTTTTACTGGGATAAAAACAGGCAGAATATCAACAGCCGCAGAATGTACATAGTATACCTTTCTTTGACCTTTCTCTCATTCTGGACATTAAAGAACTGAGCATATTACTTCCATCCCACCTTGGAATCTAAACAAACATTCCCCTTTATTAGGAGTAAAGGTATAAGAAAGGCTAGTATGCCGCGGCCGTTTGCTTACGAATAAGTTCGCAGGTAATTTATTCATAGGGTCTAGAGGCGGCGAATGGGTGGATGGTTTTTTAGGTCTCCGAAATTCGAACACTGTACAAATCCACCTCCTCGGCCGCTAGGGTATTAGTAAAGCGTCCCATAGACCCTGAAGATCGGAAAGAAACAAGGAATATCCCTCATATGTGAGGACTTTTTGAAGCTTTGACGAAGGCAATAGGTATCGCGACTTGGAAAATGTTGAGAGAGAAAGAGAAAAAAAATTTTTATGTAAGGTATCTTTACCTTTGAGAGCTTTATATTCCCACGTGTTAAGAATAAAATACTACCTAACCTAATATGTACATAATGAAAGGCCACGGACTAGAGGTACTTAATGTACTATGTAAGGTACAGTACCTGAGATTGGTAAATTTGTACTACTTGGGGGCCACATACCTTAGTATCGTACCGTATTTCCAGCGTCTGTTACCTAATCCCTGTTCTTCTTGATTGGTCGGTAAGCCGACCCCAGTACCATGGTCCCTGCGTAAGCCAGAAGCGGGCCCCCGAACTTGGAAAACTAGGTCGTGGGAAAGGGGACTCGGTTCGGATTTTTGGAACTAAACTCCTCTCAAAAAAAGAGGTGCTTAACTGCTAAATATTCCAATTCAGTCACACCAATTCAAACTATCACAACCGAGAGTCTTAGCGGCCTAATATTCTTCCCAAGCCTCAAGATTACTTTCAAAAATAGTCAATATTGGTTACAATTGTCAATCATACTGCCCCCTTGTGGTCCCATCGGATTGAGAAAGAATAAGCCCAATCTTCAATTATAAGTGGTTTAGATATATTAACATATATGTCGACTTAGGTTTAGATAGTTCGTGAACCCTATCTCGATATGGAAAAACAATATTCAGCTATCCTATCCTAGGCATAACCTACCTTACCTGTATATGGTCTTGTGCGAGACACCTATTCTTGATGTATCTACCAGAATATCATCATAGCTTCGCCTTCACAGCCCCCCTAGCCTCCTCTGCCCTCTTCCTCTTCCGCTGGAAACCTTCTATCTTATGAGTGACCATACCAGTCCATAGCTTCAGCCATTCCTCGTTAAAGGGGGGAAGTACACGGCCAGTCGTACCCGGAGCCGGCTCTCCGGCTATACCACGCAGGAACTCGAAGAAGGCGCCGTAGTCCGGTGCGATCGAGTAGTAATCTTTGCCGCCGCCGCGTTCCGCCACCCGCTTGCGCTCCCACTCTAGTTGCTCCGGGATGGGAGGAAGTTGTTTGGCTCGGCCCGCAAGGTGCCGTGCCACCGCAACCGCTTGCCATTCATACACCCTAAATGTGAAGCCGCCTCCAAGCTAATACAACCGAGCTGAGTTAGTCTCTTTTCTCCTCTTCTCTTCTCTTAAGACGGCGTGTCCCCTGAGATGCTAGGCTGGGTTAGGTTATGTTAGGTGGGAAAGACTTACCATTCCGACAAAAGTCAACGTCGGATCCTCAATATCCCACGTATGCTGGTAAACCCCGGGGAGGCGGCGATATGCGTTCCTTATCCGCTCTTGTACATGCTCAATGTACGGCACACTAAAAGTATACCCGGTTCCGAAAATAATATAATCAACCTCATCGAGAGTCGAACCGTCAGCAAAGGTGACGCGCCCAGTTTCCGAGTCTAGGTTTGTGATCTCCTTTTTGATGGCTATGTCCGGGTGTAAGAATGGCTCCCACCCGAAGGCCGGGATGGGTTCGCCTCTTAATGATGCATACACGGGGCTCTGAGCTGCCTCGAGAAGCTCGTGGACAACTTCGTGCGCCGATATAGAGCCGCCTACTACGATCACTCGCTACCATGCAATTGATATCAGCAACCAACTCCGAATTAGGCGGTGGGTATTCGCTTACTTACCTTCCCCTTAAATTTTTTACTGCTGCGGAAGTGCTTGCTGTGCTGTATCCTCCCAGGGAATTTCTTGTCGTACTCTATGAGGCCTGGTATGCTTGGGAACCACGGGACGTTGTAGTGCCCCGTCGCGACGACAAGGGCGTCGAACGTCTCTCTCCACCAATAATTCCTACCCGAGGATTCCTTCCTCAGCGTCAACACCCACTCGCTGTTTATCTTCTCGGCCCGCTCCACAGTCGTGTTTAGCTCAAGAAGCTTCTCGTGGCCGCCACGGGAGAATATGCCTTCAATCCACTCGCGGATCACCGTGTGGTGCCGGAAGGGAGCCCCGGGACCGTAATCAGCTAAGGTGCGGGGAGAGAGCTTGTTTGGGAAAGGCTCTTGAGTGTAGCTCATGATGGTCGGGGTGATGTTAGTATGCAGGTTCTCGTGGAGCGCCGTATCCGAGAAGCGCCGCTGGTGGCTGTTGATCTCATCGGACGGCAGCGTAACCGCCGGCAGCTGCTTCGGAATGGGGACAGCAACATCTGCCTTTCCCGATACCAAGTCTTCAAGGGACGGGATCGCCGTAGGTAGCTCAGGCGTGTAAACCCAAGTACCGCCGATTCCGGCCCGCCGGTCGAATACCTGGATCGTATCAAAAGCCTGCTCCTTGGCCAGCGCATCCGTAGCTATCGCACCGGCGGGCCCGGCCCCGATAACAGCTACACGCCGCGCCTTAACTGTCATGGTGGCCTATAATGATTATAGACTTGATAAGAATGGTCTAAATGTATGTCCAGGCACATAAGACGTCTTATCCCCTTTACAGCCTATACCTACGGGTTCACTCACGCTCACATATATGGCTTTGCCTTAAACTTTAAGGAGAAGAAGACCCGGAAATTGCAAAGAGACGGCTTTTATGTCGTAGCCATCAAGCCAATCCGCTCTCGTGAGGGGAAAAAGGCAGGGAAGCTTCGTTCACCGATAGGGATGCTGCATTGCGTGACACTTACCGCGATGGCGTCTGCGTTTGTCCCAAGCACGCCAAATAGGTTTTGGCCAGCTCGAATGGGACAGTGGGGATTATAGACATTATGGAGAAGTATGTGCTACTACCTACTCCTCTCTACTCCCCTCTGAACGGCCAGAAAGACGTGCGTTTCTTACCGGCCATTTCAGAATAGGTATCATTTAGAGGCTAGAAAACGGCGCAGGGTAGCGATCACGCCATCCTATACTATCTGCACGTAACAGACCTTTGCATGGCCGCATAGCGCTCCCCAGCTTCGCGACCCCTCTTACCTTCGGTGCGCTTTCCGATATGTGCTACAGAGGGTGGCGGGATCTTTAAAGTGAATAATATCCATGACATCCTGAAGGGGAAAAAAAGGTTGCCTACAAAATTACTTGCAGGAATAAGTAAAAATATAGCGAATAAATTTATGTTGCCTTAGGTACCTATATATGTGAGCTATTTATAACTGAGAAGAGTTATTTCTTCTTATTATTATTTTTCCTTCCCTAAAGCCGATCCCCGATATGCCGTCTGCCGTCACGCCCGACCGACCGCTCCCGGTGTACTTCATCGGACATGCCGGGGTGGGCTTGCTGTTTAACGAATCGCCGCAAAACCGGATCGTGCAGGATAATCTCCGCGCCGTCGGTGAGGAGATCCGCGCGATATCGCCCCGCCCGAAAGCCATACTTACTTTCAGCGGACACTTTGAGGCAGGGGAGATTCATGGCCCCGGGGTGATAGAAGGTAAGATTGAGCTCTCTCTGTCTGTTTATATAAGATGATTACCTAGTACATACATTAGGGGCCATAGTTGATACGTCGGTGATATATGCCTGGTATACATACATAGGTAACTAACATAAATAAAATCTCGCCTATGTAGTCAACGTGAAGAAAGAGACATATATCATGGTAAGGGGAATAAAGATTATTACTACATAGGAGGTTCCTATGGTAGGTGCCGACCTACTAATGCAACGTCAAAAACAGCACGATTTTGTCAACGATTTCCACGACTCGGCACCGTTCGTCTACGAATACGACTGGCCGCACAGAGACGCTCCCGAACTAGCAACCGAGGTCTGGAGACACCTGACCAAGTCCGGGATCAAGGCGAAGCGCGTGGAGCGCGGCATCGACCACGGCGTCTGGGTCCCCTTCAAACTCATGTTCCCGCCCGAGGACCCGCTCGATGTTCCCGTCGTCCAGGTGTCTACCTTCTACGGCTATGATCTGGAAAGTCAGATCCGGCTAGGGGAGGCTGTTGCATCACTTCGGTGAGTTTTTTTTTTTTTTTTTTTTCTTTTCTTTTTTAACTTTAAATCCACATATCTTAGGCACCTCATATTAGGTACATACATACATACCTTGGATACTAACACGAACTTCCTCTCATCCGCCGGCTTAGCAACGAGGGCTTCCTGATCGTTGCCTCCGGCATGGCGGTGCATTCGTTCGCCTCGATCGCCTCGATCCGCAGCGCGCCGTCGGAGGAAGCGCGGGACCTCGCGCGGCGGGAAGTCCAGCGGGAGTCGCGGGCCTTCGACACGCACCTCCGGGAAGCGGTTGCGAAGCGCGGCGCCGCGGAGCGCAAGGACGCCCTGCTGAAGCTAGCGTCGCTGCCGGAGTTCCGCCGCTCGCATCCCACCGTCGAGCACTTCACGCCGCTGCTCGTGGCGGCGGGCGCGGCGGGAGATGCGCTAGAGGGCGGGGTGCCGCTGGGTACGGATGTCGTCGAGCCGGGGATGTCGTATTTGAATGTGAGGTTTACGTAGGACTTGCTACGCCTAGGCTGTTGGGTTTATAGTAGAGGGGTTTCTGATTCTTGTACCCGTCGAATCATACACGAATGCTTTTAATGATTTTGCTTGCAATTTTGAGGATTAAGCATGAGGATAAACAACATGTCATTTCATGGGCGGTTATACCCGCTTACTTCGTAGAGCGATGGAGGTGTTTATTATGTAGGTACTTACGGGAAACTCCCATGAATAAGAAGAGTACCTAACCTAGGATCCCGCTCTGTCGAGATTCAACTACCCATCTGCATGAACCGTCCTAAATTTTCCCATCTACCAGTAATACCTGTATTTACGGCCCTTGCGATCCGTATACAGTGCCTCCGCCTCCAAAGCCGGCTCGTCGCGTATCTTCCTAGCGAACCGGCGATTCGACCGCTTGAACAGGGATGTTTGGACGATGAGCGTCGCAATCCACACGGCGCCGAGAGATAAGCACGCCGCCCACGCTCGGCGGTACAGGGGCGCGTCGGACTAAGGAGAAGGAGAGACGTGTTTAATAATCACCTAGGTACATACAACGCTCGGAACAGGGAGGGATATAGGGGCTGATTTCGACTTACTCCTCGGAATACTTGGTTTCCGTATGTCCCGCCCAAGTTAGAGCAGCCAACTAGAAACAGTGGTTAGAATAACAGCTCCAGCTAAGATAAGACGATATGGACTTCACGTACTATATACTGCGTATGCTATAGCGCGTTTCTGTGGCGTTTTCTGGTTCAGTGACAACCACGTGACATTTAAGGGCTGCCAACCTCTACAGTGCAAAGCGAGGTCAGTATACACCGTCCACAGGGAAAATAGGGGGAAGGGGGAAGAGGGGGCGGTGAATCTTACGGAGCGGCAACCGTCACGAGGTAAGCAGCGTAGAAGGACCACGAGGCCTCGGTAGTAACCGGGAGGTTCTTTTCGTTTTGTTAGCCGCGGCAAGACCGTTTCCAAGACAAGGATACAAATAAATAAACCCCACGTAAAGAGCTATCAGCCCGGCCATGGTCCAAACCGCGGAGAACATAATAGTATGGCCGAACCGCTTGTGCCGGTCTACGAGCCAGGACAATGCGAGGGCGAAGAGAGCCGATAGAACGGGTGCCGGGGCGTTGAGCAGATTCGCACGGATACTCGTGAAGCCGAGAGACTGGACGATGGTTGCTCCCCAGGTCGCTAACCCGCCGATGGATTGTAGGCCACTCAAGCAGATTATCAGGTACGGCCAGGTAGTCCAGCTGAAAAGTACGTCCGTTCTAGATAGGAGGTATGCTAGTGAATATAATTCTCTCTAACTTGGCAAGGATCTGAAAGGGAAGAATACTTACATGTCCTTAAGGCTAATGCTCATAGTAGCAGCTTGTCCCTTCGTCGGATCCGCTCTGATTATCCTCGCTACAAAGACGTCTGCTTCGCGCTCAGAGAGCCATCCGCGCCAGGGGACTAGGCCGCCTAGAAGACGATGTGTGTGGTGAGGGGACTTGGGAACGAGGGTGAAAGCTATAAGGCCGGTGGCTGTAATATAAGTGGGTAGATACCTGTCAGTAACTATCAAGATGAACGGTTATATCATGGCTAAAAAAATAAAAATAAAATCGATCGACATTCTCACCTATCGTAGAAACGCCACAAATAAGAAAAATCCTAGGCACAAGGACTATAATTAGCACTAATTAGGTATAACCACCCGAAACAACAACACAATTTACCTACCACTGCCACCCATGCAGCCCTCTCTCGCCCTCGATACCCAGGGCGCCGGCGCTTATCAGGGAGCCGAAAGCGGCGGAGACAGACGGGCCGAAGAAGAAGACGGTGGTGCGGCTCGCGAGCTCGTCCTGCGTGTACCAGCGCGAGAGCACGTACAGGCTGCCGGGGATGAACCCGCTCTCGGCGAGCCCGAGGAACAGGCGCGCGGCGTACCACCCGCCGGCGTCCCGCACGAACATCTGCAGGGCCTCGACCACGCCCCAGACCACGACCTGTAGCGGGATCCAGTAGTGCGGGCCCACGCGGTGGAGGATGATCTGACGGGAGTTAGTTGGGTTATAGTTCCCCGTCGTATAAAGAAGAAGGAGAAAAAAAAAAGAAGAAAAAAGAAGAAGAAAAAATTGGGCGTAAGAGAAGGAAGGGGAAGGAAGGGGGTAGGTAGGCGGGTAGATATATAAGCTCACGTTAGAAGGGATCTCAAGCAGCACGATGCCGAACCAGAGCAGCGAGACGCCCGTGTTCGCCTGGTCCCGCGTCATGTGGGTGTCCTTCAGAAAGGTCGATGTCAGGACGCCCGAGACGTTGGTGCGGTCGATGGCCATCCACGTGAACATGAGCTGCAGCGCAAGTTAGACAGGTTAGGTGCCTAATTCAGAATAATTATATGATGAGGATATGATATGTACGTGGGTCTATAAGTGGTGCAGTGGGTATAGATACCTACGTACGGCGAATATAGGAAGAAACAGGCAATCCGCCTTACGGACGACACGCCTCTGCTCTTCTTCCGTCCAGCTGACGAGGACCTGCTGGCCATTCTTTTCGATATGCTGGTGGAAGTACAGATTACCAGTCGAACCTCCAGATTCGCCGTCGGACGAAGTCACTAATCCCTCTTCCTTCCCGTCTACACCGGTTTCGGCAATTAGCTGCGCAGCCGTCTTAGTCGACGCCGTAGCCGTAGTTGTAGCCGCGACTGCTAGGGATTCCGTGACTTGGGACGCCATGCTGTCTGTATATCTGGGAGATTCAGAATGGCATACCAATCAATTAGTCAATCGATCAACAAGTATAAATCGCGACAGACCCAACGATGCGGAACTATGCGAGTCGATAGCGAAGACCCTAACTACATCTACTGAAAAGTACCAGGACTGATAGGCGAAGGGTTCCAATGCGACACAACTGACATGTGCGTACTTTTTGATAAGTGTAGGGCTTTAAAAAAGCACCCCAAAACAACGATAGCTCGTTTGTCCGGGGCGGCGAACTTATCGTTCTTTTTGGGAAGCCATGCCGATTCGACCATTCCAACTCTCGATGCTGCGATGCTAGATAACGATTAGCATAGCATGCTGCAGCAGCGTACGTTATTCTGGTTCGATGGTGTGTGATGTCGTCTTCAGCCCTGGGAATATCGCAATAATTGTGGGGTTAGTATGCCAAACCCCGAAAATACTATGTAAGTCGATTATAGAAGATGAAGATATTCGTTGATCCTCGGGTTTAAAGGTGATGAATACCTGTCTGCGCAAGAAGGTAGAGACCTGCCTAGGTACCTAACACAAACTTTTATAATTGATATAAAAAGGGGCGATTCAACTAAATTTAAGCCTTGGTTTGAATAGAACTTCACAATTTCCACTATTAAAGGGGGTACGCAAGTTCAAGGGGTCGATTGTATACCGCGTCACAACTAGGTTTTGATGCGACCACGGTCCATCTATCATTCGTCTCTTTTGGTATATGTACATATGATACATTAAGTCCGATAATATAATTATCGACGGCCATGAGCGTAACCATAGATCCTCTTGCTGTACTTCCATAAGCTTCTGTACTTGGGCTTCTGTCTCTTGGCTTCCCATCCCCTTGGCTTCTTCTCTTCCTTGAGAGAGTACACCCTCTTGAACTTGAATTGGATATCGGCACCAGGAATACCGGCCTTCTCCATGACAGCGGCGGTATTCTCATCCCAGATAGTCCGGAAGATGTTAAAGCCAACTGGTGTGAGACCGAACTTGTCTCGGTAACTCTTGAGACTGAATCCGTCTCGGCTGGAGTATAACTCCCGCAACTTCTCAATATCCAAGTTCTCCCCTGGCTTTTGTTCTAGAACAAACACCGATAATCTGTGGTACGGGGCGCCCTTTTGAGAGAATGCCGGGAGCCACGGTACGGCGAGTTGGGTCTCCTTGTTGACCTTACCTAGGGGTAGAGAAGGCTGGTTGGGAGAGATAGGGACATTTGCCGCAAGATAGTGACACCGCCTATCAAAAGAGTCCGTCTCCGCGTTGGGAACATCTGAGTCCATAACTACAACGGAGACAAGACGTTCGCCCGGATTGAAGACTTGAACTTTCAAGCGAGGCGGCACCTCTGTAATCTTGGAATTAAGGATTTCACCGGGAGTAACCTTGATTCGTCGGAAGAAAAGTTGAACATCCGCGATGGGCTCAAACTTGGGCAACACATCGGGAACAATGTTGAGCTGCTTGATACGTTGCGTAATGATACGATAAGGCATGCCACGCCATTTACGCTCAGCATAGTATCGGTAGATGGGCTTGTCCATGTCGCCTGCATAATTGTTAGCCCTTACATAGATACTGTAATCAAATCTCACAAAAAAATAATGGTGTTTTCTTAGGACCAATGAGACTTGAGCAGCGGCAGCAACAAACAACAAAAAAAACATACAACACCAGGGATTCGCTGGTCGTCACCGACCCAACTACTAATCTGGCAATATCCGGCTTATCTATGGGAGAGCGGACGGGATCCCGAGTTTTCCAGATTTTATGGTCGTATGTGATTGAATTGTCGGTTATTCCTTCTTATAACCCAGGCTGATTGCCAAATCCACTCCAGCTTCAGAAACTCTGAGGTTTCGAAGTTGGTCCCACCCCCCTATCATCCCACGGCATCCCAGTAGTATAAAAACAAGAAAATTGGCATTAAAAAATCAAAGCAAAGCCCAATGGCTTGAAAAGCATTTAGAAAAAAAAAAAAACTTACCAAGACCATCCTCGAATCTCCGCTTAACGATGGGATCGTTAACATCGGCCAGAATCTTGAGCTGCTCTACCCACTTCCTCAAGCTGGCCAGGCGCATGTTCTTCTTGCGCTCGCCTCCGGGGACCTGGTCGGCCGGGGTTTCCTCGAGCCTCTTGATCTTGGCCAGCTCCTTGGCGATGGCCTGGATCTTCTCCTGGCGGTCCTCCTGCAGGATCTTGCGGGCCTCCTGGAAGCACTGGTAAGGCAGCTGCTCGAAGGGCACGTTCTCCGAGGTACGTATGGCGGCACGCCGACGCCGCGATCCGATGGGCGGCGCACCCATGCGCATGAGCTTCCACTCGGCCCAATGCGCCGTCGTAGTCTCCCGGTCCATCAACCGCTCCTTCATGCGCACTTTTCCGGGTTCTGCCGCGTTGGCGCTGGCCGCCTCTAACCTCTCTACCGAGGTCGTAGCATCCTTTGGCGGAGTAGTGGTAGTGGTAGTAGTAGAAGTAGGAGTATTGTTTGTGTTTGCGGTTGTAGTCGTAGTCGTAGTCGTAGAGCCGTCCTCATCCTGTCGCACTGCGCTCCTCGAGAAAGACCGCGAGAAATGCGATGCGCTCTGGAGGAAGAGGCGGTCTTGTCGAAGAGACTGCACGAAGGGCCTCGCGACCCTCTGACAGCTCGACATGGCTCGGCTACGTCGAGGGCTGTGGTTTGGTGGTGGGTTTATAATAGAGGAGGGAAGATATAATCGATTAGAAAAGACGGAACTTTTTGAAGCTTGGAGTCTCCACTATAAAATTAAAAGGTTGAAATCTTAGTGGACGATACCACTCCGTCCTTGTAAGGCCTGTGTCCCGCCAAATGTCTATCGATAAAATCAAATCGAACAAATGGAAGTACCTACCTAGGTCCTAGATTACCTTAAGGTACGTACCCCCTCTCTAGCTTCAATCTTTTAATAATTTTTCCGGGGTTTCAATTGATTCGATTGACTTTCTTGCACTCTTCAATTTGTGGTGTGTTATCGACATCCTCGTCGGCATGGCGAGCAAAGGCGTAAGGTGTCTCAACGAGGCCCTCAAGGGTCTAAGCTTATCGTCGCAAACATGCAGAGAAGCCGTTTCAGTGCGTTCTATCCTTTACTTATACCTTTTTACTTTATACCTTTTACTTATAAATAGTGGGCGTGGCTGCTAACGAGAGGTCCAGCATCGGATACCGTCGTCGACGTTTACTCGATCGATGGCGACGGAGGCTCCTCTACCTAAAATTACCACCTCGGTAGAAGCAGACTCGTTATGGAGACCAGGTATATACACACATATACACGCACAAACCCTCTTATAGGTACGCCTCGATTAATGCTGACAACGACATAAATTACAGCAACCACGGTTCCCCTAACCATCTTCAACTTCCCGTCCTTCGAGCCGCAGCGCCTCGAGTCCTGGTCCACGAAGCACCTGAACCTACCGCTGCGGCGCGACATCCTGCACCTGGCGGTCGTGTACGAGGGGGACAACACGCGGCAGGGCACGGCGTCGACGAAGACGCGGTGGGAAGTCGCCGGTTCGCACAAGAAGATGCGGCCGCAGAAGGGAAGCGGCCGGGCGCGCCTGGGCACGCGGCAGTCGCCGATGCTCCGGGGCGGCGGCAAGGTGTTCGGCCCGAAACCCCGCGACTTCGGGACCAAGCTGCCGCGCAAGGTGTACGACCTGGCCTGGCGCACGGCCCTGAGCTACCGGTACCGCCGGGGCGAGCTCGTCGTGTGCCAGGACGGCATGGAGCTGCCGCTGCCCTCGGAGTTCGCCGACCTCGTCGCCGCCGGCGCCCTCCAGGACGAGCTCCAGCGCACCTTCAAGGCCAAGTGGGTGCGGCAGGTGCTCGACGCCAACGAGTGGGGTAGGCGCTGCGGCCGCAGCACCTTCATCACCACGTCGCCCAGGCACAACCTGTTCGAGGCCCTCGAGGAGGTACCGAATTACGGGCGCGCGCTCGAGATCGACGACGTCGACGTCAAGAACTTGCTCGAGACGGGCCGCTTGGTTATAGAGAGGGAGGCGCTCAAGGAGCTGATCGAGAGACACCAGAGCGATCTGGTCGCGAGAGTGCACGTTACCAACGTCGTGTTGCCAAAGGCGCCGGAAAGTGGCAAGGTGCTAGTAGAGTAGGTAGGTAGGATAAATCCACATAGGGCAGCTGGGGGGTATTGATCTCTCATTGTAAATATCTGGCTGTACATTATTTTGATGCCTTCATCGCTGCCTTTAGCAGGACCCACTAGTCCCGCGTACAAACACCGTCAAAAGTTATTGTGACTATTGTTTGGAAATTCTACGACCAAGTCTAGCATTTGTAAACTTTCCCGTACTTTAGTAATAAGAGGCTCTATATTAGAGTGCATCTACGTATTCTTGGCTGCTTGCTATTGATAAAAGTTGAATGTCGCTGTCAACGTTGAACTGGTTTAGGTATTTATAACCTCAAATTGCGCCCAGCAAAAAGATTCAATAACAATTATCACGAAGCCAAGATAGTTACTACAATATGATGTACCTAATATAGCACTTCCGTTACGAAAAACTTGGTGATATATCAATTACTAATAATATATTTTTATTGATAAATAAAGACATGATATCAATTCATAAAATAAACCAGCTACCTAGATAGATAGTTCTGACAAAAAATAAATAAATCGAAAAATAAATAAATAAAAATCGGGTGTAACTATCCGGGACGTAAGTACCTGACGTACCTAGTTGTGGCGCCGAGTACATGACGCCGATCGTTGATATCACACCCCATGCCTCCATACCTCATACCTACCAGCCTACCTTACCGCTACAAGGAGGGGGAGATGTCGTTCCTAGCCCCTTCCAGTTCACGTACCTATGCTCCAACTTTCCCGCGCCTTGGATCACGACGCACGCATTACGCGTAGGTTATTCTCTCGTTATTGCCACGTTAGTTAGGTTAGGTAGTGGCGGGCTGCTGTTAGCCGGGCGCCCGCCTGGATTGGATTTTCGAAAGGGGCCCAAAAGGTCTGTGGTTGTTGAGTGTTTGAGGAGAGGTAATGATGTGTCGCGGAAGTGAAGTCATCAATACCTACCTAGACCCTCTCGCGCCACCTATGACGGCGTATGAGAGGTGCTCAAAGTAGGTGATCCGGATATCTTGGCCTATTATATGAGATGTGGTTGACTGGTAGATACGTAATGTGTAGGTAACTACCAAACCTGGGTATTTAACATCCATGTTTTCACTTTCCTTTAGGGGGATTTTGTCGCTGTCATTTGATTCTTACAACTACCAACTTATAAAAACCTCATTGTTATCCCCGTCTTTCCCTAGTTTAGGTACTCTATAGGTATCTTCATCTCACATATATGAATATGATCTTGCAAATGCGGTTGTTCATCTTACCTTTTGTTATATCATTACCAGATGGACATTACCGGAATTTAACTGAACGAACGTGACCAAACATGGGATTATTAGTCCGTACCAAGGGCGCTTGGTGGTTGAAGCTATTAATCATCGACCGAAATGCCGTTTCAGCATTTCGAGGTGGCATGGCCTCCGGGATACGACTCCTCCTAATGATAACAGCTTGGTTTGGATGGACTGGCCTACCGATATCACCTCTAGGAGGTGGTTAACTGAACGAACTACCTAGTCGCAGACGACGCCAGAGGAAATAGTTTTGTCAACAGTGGGACCAGGTCGACTTACCTGGAGGCGCGCTTTTTCTATACAATTTCTGGTTTCAGCTGTCGTTGACGAATCGTATGCTACAATGGCCTCGGAGTTGACGCCGTTGCCGAATCACATACTACGGAGTCAGCATACACGGTCCCTTCCGAGCTAGGGATCAGGAGACTTGAAATCTCGTGGCATCGGAAGTAATCTTCGCCACTTCTCCCATTTAATGTTGGAAATCCCATCATGGCTTCCCATCGTGGTTTTCCAACATGTAGGGTATCCTTATTTACCTCTACCTTTGGGAAGTTTGGCGAAGATTACTTTATATATTGGCATTTCCCCCCTCAACGGGAACAGGCTCACGACCCGCCTGGGACTTGTACAGAGTTAGCCGTGTACGACACCCGCGGTGACGAAGAGTGCACCCGAGCTGATTAGGGATAATCTCATTCGGTCATTATTTCCTAGTCGATCCAAAATACACGGGTTGACATTAAAGGAGAGTCCTTTCCTCTCTCTCATGCTTCTCTCCTAACCTTCGTAGCCTAAACCTTCCCGAGACCGAGGATATCGAGGAGAGCAAAACCATCAGAATATTCATCATCATAATTGATCCTTTTTCCTTTGCGAGATTTTTGCATCGTTACACATTCTGCAAAAAGAAAAACCTTGAAGTCGAAGAGAAAGAAAACAAGCAGGAATAGCTGACTAAAATTCCTTGCAGGAAACCCCTTTTTCTCCGCAAGAATGCGAAAACGCCATTTGTATATTTTATCGCTCACCAATTTCATCAGATATACGTACCGGCATTGTTGGCTATGATTGAGCTTGTGCTTCGACGAAACTGAAAGGGAACAGCTGTGAAGTGCTCGGAGCTCTCGGGTATAAGGGATATACCGCTCGAAATCTGCGTATAGTTCCCCCGCCGTCTTTTTATATGTCCATTTCAGCCTTCCCAAACGGTGGGAATTTGCAAAGATTCGTTTGACATTGGTGTTTCCCCGAAGCCAGTGGCGTCTTCGGCCGTCGAATTTTGCAAGGCGCTTATTGGATATGACCCCTCGCACGGGACCGGCTCCGCCATCCCCGGGAAGTTCGACATCAGACCCGGGCGGTAGAAGATAGGTGAGGACGGCATGAAAGCCCCGGGATGGAATGATTGCGATGGGGTCACTGGGCTCACGAGGCCCGCCTCGTGCATTGCCGAGGATCCCGCAGTGGAAGAGATGCTGTCATGACGATCCAGTGGCTTAGGGGTAAAGCCTAGATCGGTTAACATCTGGTTGTATCTGTCGCTTGCTCCCAGTACAAAGCTCTTTGCCTCATTTTCGATCCACCTGTCAATGTTGGGGTCGCTGCAGTTGGCATGATCCATGAGTTGCGATTTTATGAGGCTAATCTCATTTTTCAAGTGGCTATACTCTTTCTTGAGGTCGTTGTGCTGACTCTCTAAGTCAAACCTTGTCTCCTCCAGATCTGCTACCCATTCTTTTTTCTTCTCTCTGCACTTGGTCGCCGCGGCACGGTTCCTCTCTAGAAACTTTTTCCTATTGGCGGTGTTGGCGTTTGAATTGAGGTCGGCGTTAGCTTGTTGTTTCCGTTGTCGCGTCTTCTTATTGGGAAGGTCTTCAGGCGTTACGGTTCGTTGTGACAGGTGAGTTTCTGGCGTTTCCGACGATCCGGTTGACAATCCGGGCGTTTCAAGTTTGTCCGATTGAGATCGTGACGACGTCGATCGAGTTTTGGTACGGCGACTCGCAAGTCTTTCAGAGGCCCGAATGTGAGTTGGTCTTATTAGCGAGTTTGATGAGCGAGTTTGGGCCGGTGATGCGTCAACGGAGGGTCCACCAGGCTCGCTGCCACATGGGGCATCTGAATAATTGCCGACTTGGTTCATTATGCTTAAGCTATCTGTGATATCGCCCGCAGATTGTTGGTTATCCGGAATGTCAAAATTAAAAAAAGCCCGACGGTTCATACATACTTACTACTAATCGTTGAACGATATCCTACTTAAGGATGTCTCCCTCGAGGCGCTATCAGCGGGTAATATATGGTAAGGCATGAACAGTGCGACGCGGGTTTAAGAGATTGGTTTTTCAGTTACCAATAGCTGCGACTCATAAAGGTGGCTTGTCCATTCGAAAGTTGGGCTTGGAGGAAACAGACATGCCAGCCAGCATATGCGAGTCAACCAAAGTTGTTTTATGTCATTCGAAGCACCAAAAGCAAATGACTTATTTAGCAGGTTTCTAAAGTTGTGTTAGAGTTTTTTAATGTTCGATAACTTGTTATGAGGTATGCTAAGCTTTGGGTAGGCCTATGGAAGAATCAAAGGGGGGGAAGGGAAGAGGAGAGAGATGTACACTGACACGCTGACAGGTTAGTAGGAGTGGACCAGGGGGAAGAGGTATCTTCGTATGCATAACACCGCTACCCAAACACCGCCCAAGGTATTAACTTCCAGGTTACTTACATTTTGGTACATGGTCCGAGGTACACTACGTATACGGTCGAGTCGTGGGTCTCCCTCACTAGAGGTAATCATACGTAATAGATGTGATTTATTAACCTGCGATACCCTTCCGACCTCCTGAGCTTATTATTAAACCTCTATATCTTTATTTTCCAAGTTACAGCACGAATACGGGGCGGAAGCGCCAGCCAATTTTTGCAGGTACAATAATACAATTGCTGGACGAAACCTTTGTTAACTCTTCCCCCTCGAATGGTATTCTATGTTTCGTTATTCCAAACACGGCCATATTTGCCACATTTTCTATATACTACATATAAAGGACGGCTTATCAGAGCTGTTCTAGGCATTATCCCGAGTTGGAGTAGTGTGGTAAGGGGCACATCCCGAACGGCGTCTCATGTGGGACTGACAGCCCTTGACAGCGGTTAGCTGGAAGCGCCCCGGAAGTGTAAGCATACATCAACCATGATCCTGGAGCGGGCGGTTGAGATCTAATCTCACCTAGATCGTTTTTACCTACGTACCTATTCAGATTAAGTACATATATTAAGGCGGCAACGGTGGCTTCGGAGGTTAAGTACTGCTTGTGAGGATTTTTGTTAGGAGTACATTCGTTCAAAGTATGCCAAGCCCGCGCAAAAGCTACATAATCCGCCCTTACGTATTTTTTTTCTAGTGCAATAAACTTCAGTCCGTAAAGTTAAGCAGGTACACCATCCCACACGCGTAATTACACTCTTGACAAGATTACTCTTAGGCGTGGATGAAAATCCTTTACGAAGCAGAAGCATTAGCTAAAATTAAGTTACCAACTAGATACTTTATTTTATATTTAATAACAAGTAGAGCTTGTAAGCATTAAATAGCATCTAGGTCGCTTAGTATCATAGTGCAGATGTCCCGAGCAGTTATGCTACTTAACGACAGCAGCAATGTAACTACTAACTGCAAGGATATAGTACCTGAATTGCTGATAATATTTATTATATGCCAGCAAGGTCAAGCCCAACGGATATGGTAGCAATGATTGGTATTTGTTGTATAGGGGCTTGTTCGTTGGGTCTGGAAATGGATGCATCACCGCCCCGGACAGACGGACAGACTGGTCCGGGGCTCATATGTGAGCAGGGGGTGTACACAGCACGACCATGTCATAGAATCGTTCTAGGAGGTTAGATTCGATGGAGACAAGATTTATAAGTGAGTGGATCCTCTGTGAACTCGACAGCCTAACCCTGATGGAATCAATACATTCACGTATTATGTGATACCTACTTCGTAAAGCGTGATGCTTAAGTAGAATCAACAGGGTCCAAAAAGTAATCACGTTTTCACCTCGACAGTAATTCAAAAATAAACAAGTTATACTACGAACTCAAAATACGTAACCTTAGGTAGCTTGTTAAGCCAAATCAATTTCATTTGTTAGTACGTTTCTCCTCGGATAATCGTAGCAATGCCAAAGCTAATAATTGACTAATTGATTATCACGACAGCCGGATAAATGCTAGGCATTTCTTATTCTGTAACTCTATATTTTAGTTCCTGAGAGAACCAGGGATATTACCTATATTCCTCCATCATTCTACAGTGATCTTACTCTCTCCCCTAATAAGTCTCCTTTTCTGTATCGGGTGAAAAAAAAAAGAAAAATTCTCAGAAGCCTCGGAACACTATGTCCGGCTAGTATATCGCCACCATCGATTCGTTGATCTGGCTGGCCATTTCTCTGTCTATACAGCGGGATGCCCCGCAAAACTTAATATAAAAAGACTGATCGGTTTGACTTTAAGCTCATCCTGTCGGTTCCGGCAGGGTAGCTTAGGTAGGTTTGATTGTCAAAAGTAGTTTCGTCTGGCTCTAGGTTAAGGTAGGGCTGAACTATGTTTCTTTCCATACGTATCTGCCTTGCTTTAATTTACTAACCTTACCTAGGTAGGTACCTGTTAACTTACTCTATGCAATGCAAATGCGAGTACAAAACTCTTTAATCTAAGAAATTGGAGACGTCAAAAGTGATGCTAGGAAAAACCAAGAAAACCAAGAAATATCTCCGGAGATTCTCCGGAAGATACGATTGGTTGAATTATAAGGTGAGCAATCCTGGCCAATCATATTTTCATATTGAACCCAGCTGCTTTGCACATCTTCGGTGAGAGCTCCGAGCTTGGAAGCCGATTCGGATTATCAGGATAAGTAATCCGTAGTACCTATGTACCTCATATTTAAATTTGTGGGGTAACTTAATTCTCAGCTTTTTCTTCTTTGGACGCGTCGCGTATCTTCTCTTCTCTCAAATGATTGCCCCACCTTTAATTTAATCCTTATCACTCAACTTCAACAATCCAAAAAGAGAAAATCAAGTCGAATAGGAAGAAGAAATAAAGAAACGAACAGAACTTTACCTAAGTTTTCTGACAACTAGATCTCTAGTTCTGTATTTTTGATACTGGAATCGTATCTGAAATTTCTTTTCTTTTCTTTTTTCTTTTTTTAAGCGCTATTACCTGTCTGTCATACACGATGGAATCAACTTCAACACCTCGCATCTCCGCGGCCCTTCTGGACTCGTACATTGGCCATAACGTCATAATTGTTGGCAAGGTAACTGTACTCCGCGGTGACGTCGCATCCATCGAGGCCGACGGGCATATAGAAGCAAACCTCACCAGAGTAAGTGAAAAGTCACACTTATTATTATAATGTAGCTCATAGCGGCGCATATGATCTAAGCTTACAACTATACTATCCACTTATAGGATTGCCACCTTATGGTCGGAAATGGAGCTCAGATTATTGGCAAGGTGAATTCAGACCTGTCCGTCAAGGTGCTGAACGCCATAGATCTCGGCCCTAACGTCGGTATGTATCCCGCGAAGTTCTCGTATCATCTATCTGCTGTGACATCTTTTCATCTAAAGTTGGAGTTGGAGTTACGGCTTTATGAACAAACCGAGTTTGTAATAAGGCTTCACACACATCTCGGACTTCTACCTGATATATACATCTTTTTTTTAAAAAGAAAAAAAAAAGAAAAAGAAAAAAACATTGATACTGCCGCTATCTAATTAATATACTATCCTAACACTTTGGCTTTCTCAGACTACCAAATATGTCAAAACGTTGTTGATGTTACCCACCAGTTCAAGGATATCTTCGTCTCTCAGAATCGAGGCGGCATGAACTGACGTTTCGCACGTGGACGCGTGTCTCTGGGATGGCCGATTGGTTCGCAGCAGCGGTCTTTCTCTCAGCAGTCTCAACCCAAGCCTCAGTTTTTATCTCAACCTCTACCTCAGAAGAAACATGAAACGCGAAATTTTGCTGATTTAACTGATACTACTGCGAGCTCGTCGTCTTCAGAGCCTTTTCAAACAATAATACCGCCGACTAATCAGTTCTCCCAACTATCCATCCAGGAGACACCGCAGTCCTCCCACACTATTACCCAGTCATCTACACTTCACGACACTCAGTTCTCTCAGGAACCCCCCCTTGCTACTAGGGATATTCAGTACACCCATTATACGTATGAAGAGGCATCGTCCTCCTTACGACACCATAAAAGGAACCAACCACCACAGTCTTCTCGTCGTCGACGGAAAACGCCTACATCTTCTCTTGATAAAAATGGACACGAACTGTCACCCCTGGACCCAATCTCACTACCAGTCCCAACAACAGCTCCAGTCACTGCCCCAATCACTGTCCCAATCGCTACCCTTGCCTCAGCCCCAGCCTCAGCGGAGCCACAGTATTACATGACATCGCCATTTCCCCTGCCCCCTCCCGTTGAGCGACGTGGACGGCTCTTCCGCACTCGCTCGGGAAATCTAGCGACTGCCGCCGAGATCCGACGCCGCAGGGAGCTAGAGCAACACGCCGAGGAGCTGCTGGAGATGATCCTCGAAGGTTTTGGCGACGAGCACTCTCACACAATCACATTTGATATGAACGATTCGGGCCGCTGGCGCATCGTAAGGCAGGAACAGCCAGAGGTGGAAGTGTATGAAGATGCGTAACTCCGTGACCTGATCTAGTTCACGTCTTCTTTCTCTTCTACTTACGCGGTCCTTAGATAGGAATTTTCACAATTAGGAGAAAACGGATAGTGTGTATCGTGGCATGCCTGGCTGTTTATTACCTTTCGTGATTTAAGAATATGCGTAGAAAGTGTTTACTTACCACGGCATTATTTAGACCTCATTGTTTACTCCGTGCTGGGCTCTAGGTGTTAGTAAAACATACTTGCGTAGTAAGGTATACTCGTTGTAGGATATGGATTATTGGGGCTTTCCCAAAATTCTCGAGAAGTTCTAATTCAAACCCCCCTTTTTAGAGGAACATCGAATCGATCATCATAATTAATAGGCATAATAGTAAGGCTATACACAGGTGCTCCAAACACACTTATTAATGACGGCCACCCATTTTCATGACTACCTAACCTAGGAGGTAGGTATTTAGTGTAGAAAGGAGTGATTAAGTACATCCGCCCGGTTCAAGAAATGAAAAAAATGCAGGCCAGCAAATTAAAATACACTTAGTTCCACATCGAATAGTCCGTTAACTTCTATCAGTACCCCTGACTATCCTCAGCACTACACCTTCACAACAGCAGCAGCTACACAGCTCAGCCGTCATTCATCGTTCGGTTTCATAGTCCACAACGACACCAACTTCTTCTCAATTATCAAGAACTAGAGAGCTCTTATCACCTCCAAAGACCAAAGACAGGCACACAATCACACGCAAACCAGCAAGCGCACATAAGCACATACACATCTCACCATCTCGACGAGCGGACACAATATAGGTGTAAACAACAAGCAAAGTTTTTTTCTCCTCTATTATTCTCAGGTTCATTCCACTCTTGTTTGTTCATCGACAGGAATTTTTCTCGTTTCGTCGTCCCTTATAAAGTTCACTAGCTAGGTAGGTATCTTGCTGCTGCTTGCAAATACCACAAATGCCATGCCTAGTATCTATGTACCTAAGCTTTCCACAAAACGCCTGGTGGAAGAAGCAGAAAATATAAAAACAACAACAGCAAATACTCTTTCATTTGGGGGTATCATCAGGCTTCCCTTTTTTTTGCCTGGGGGCCTAGGCTTAGGCCTGGGCCAGTGCCAGTGCCGTACTATCCTGTCTATGACCGAAAGAACCGCAGATCGTAGAATAAGTGAAAAGGAAAAAAACAAAACTGTAGGCCAATCAAACAGATCATCGCGCTTCAATACTCCTGTAGACTAATGCAAAAGGCAGAGAATGAATAAACACGCAACTGTGGATGCCCATACACACCACACGGTAAGAGCATCAGGCGTCGTCTCATCTCCACTTCATTAATATTCTGTGTCCATTTCGGTCCACTGATCTGCGTTTCTGTCGTAAGTAATACGCTGTCCAAAGTTCCCTCTTTGGTCTTCATTCCGTGCAGACGGCGAACTACGCTGGGCTGTATCGATTGCGAATAGGTTACCGAAATCCAAGGATCCATGGCTAAGCTCTTCATCTAATGGTGCAAGAGAACCCAGATCCAGTTGGAAACCAGGGGACGACGGTATTGGCATGTTAAACTGATTCATGTCAGGCAGGAGTTGGTGAATGGATCGTGATAGTGGCGTGTCGAAAATCTGACTATCCAGGAGATGCGAGGGTAGAAGACCGCCCGGTGAGTGGCGCTTAGCCCCACTGGAGCGAGGAGTTCGAGTCGGAGTGTGCTGAGACATTAAAATTTGACTTGGGGAGTTGATAGATCTGCAAGAGCGCATGGATCTGGTTACACTTCTAGTGACCGGTCGATGGCTGGGGGTTGGACGAGTTGGGGTCTTAAAAGGGCCACCGTGATTGGCCTTTGGAGGTGGTGTCGAAGGCCGGGGCGGCGTACCAAATATGTCCGCAAAGTCTTCTTCCAAAGTCCCTCCAATCCTTCCTAGGATAGCATTCTCTTTCTCTAGCTCATTCCCAACTCTCGCGTCTGGATATTCAGATGATGTCTGCATAATATTAAAAGCAGCTTCACCTAGTATCCTCTGCTCTCCATCCTTGCGCGGGGATGGAAAAAGGAGTCGTCGAGTAACTCCTAAATCATCGTCAAGGGCAATAGGGCTGCCTGGAGTACCACTTCCCCTAGAGTGCGTAGATCCTCGCGAATGTGTCGAGCCTTGACAGTTTCTTTCCGGATCAGATTTCCCACGATTTTTTTTCGAGCTCCTTTCAAGCCCTTGCTGTTGCGTCTGGCTGAACGACTCGAGTGGTAAGTTTTTTGGAGATGAGGGCGCATCTAACGGCCCAAGAGGATCCGTGGGGAGGCAAGCTTCAGAAGTTAAATTCGTCTGAGAATCACTCTTTGTTCGTGCTTTCTTCGAGCGAGGTGCTGCGGTACCATTCGCCCTCTTCTTTCGCGTTTGAGAGAGCCTTTGTTCGTCCTTTTCCCATTTCTCCGCTGGTCTATGCTGTTTGAACTTGCTAAACCAGATACCACATGCTGTGAAATGTTAGTAAAATCAACGCCGCTCGTGTTATCTACAACTTACGATTACAAAGCAATACTTCATTCCACGCGCTCTTGCTGTCTTTCGGGCCCAAGGACTTCTTGATAACTTCATACGTGGTCACTTTGCCTTCAGCGTCTCTCTCGAGAACATTGATAGCGGTGACATAACCCGGCTTCTCTGAATATTCATGATACGCTGGAATACCTTTATGTTCCTGTTTCCAGATTTTTCGCCACGTGGGCGTCTGCAAAGCTCCACAGTTGCGGCAGAATGACGGTAGTTGCCCTTGAGCAACAGCTTCTTCTAGTTTCTGACGGATTGTCTGCCTTTTAACGAAATTTTTATTCGATTTTCCATCCGCAGGTCCGATAGCGTCAGTCTGAGGGTGTGCGGGCTCAGAGTGAAGCGTAGGAAAAGTCAACTGAGGAAGAACAGGGTCACTCGCAGGAACTGCTGGAAGCTCGGGTTCTGGAGGCGTCTCCCGGCTCTGTTCGTGAGTAGGTGGTTCCATGCGACTACTGACCACCTCGGTAGTGGGTTGTGCGTTATCATACTTTGACGAGTCTTCGGGAGTTTGTGTAAGTGGATGATCATGGCTCATGGATGCTAGACGTTGGCCCTCATCTTCCAAAGCATCAACCTGAGTAACCTCTGGGTTTGGGATATTCTCTTGTACGGTGGTGGCTTTCTCTGGCGAAAATTCTTTTACTGAACGTTGCTCCTCCGTACCTTCCGCCTCCACTCTTTCAACTGGTAAACACGGAGGTTCAGAAATCACGGGCGTTTTGGCCATTTCACTGGTTTTTCGACTGAGATGAGGTGGGTTATAAATCGACGTTTGAGGTAACAACTCAGGAGGCCCAGGAGTCTCTGTGTGGATAATTAGGTCGCTCTGAACATTAGCTGGGGCTTTTTTCACACGACTTCGACGGGGCTTCGGCTTCGCTACCACAGGGGCCTTTTGTCTCAGGTTAGTTTCCTCCTCTATTCGACTATCCAGTCCTCCACTCATATATCCTGAATCAGGCTGCGGCATTGTTATGGGCATCGGTGGAAGGATAGGACTCGAAGGAGCTGGACTCGATCGCATACTATATAATGCAGATCGAGGAACAGGAGGTGAGGACCCAATGTCGGGACTAGCTTCATCGGAATACGTATGAGATGGCGACGCACCCGCAGACTCCACAGGGGATCGAGCATCTTGGATGTGAGAAGTAGACTGGTTAAGTTCCAGAAAAGATGGCGTAAAAGAGCGGCTTATTGTCGAACTTGATATCGACTCACGTCTCAGGCCGCTAGGAGCCAAGGGTCGGGCATTAGGTACGCTTGAAAAACGAGAGTCGGGGACGGGTGTTGGAGCTCGCGGGATTTCTTGACCTGTAGGAGCATCCCCAGCAGATGCAATAGGCCGAAAATTTCGAATCGATCCCGCGGTGCTGGCAACAACTCGCAGCGATTCTGGCGCTGAGCCGAATGTAGCAGTATTACTACGCTCAACCTTGGTCATTGTAGCCCTCTTCTTGGTCCGTGGTGGTCCATCATCCGCATCAGTGCCATCTTCGTAACCTGACGTACTACCCTCAGCCGGAAGAGGCTTCTTTCGTGGTCGACCCCTAGGTCGTCCTGAAGGGGGGCGGCTTGATGCTCTAGAAGCCGGACGTGATTGGGGTTTACCTCCCTTGGCCGGTGCCGGAGCTCTGGCTAATTCATCTGTGACCATAGCCTGCTTTTGGGGAGCTGGCCCTTGGATCGGAGCTGGTCCATGCTGCTCCCTAACATTCCGTTCGGCCGAGGCGGGTCGGCTTCCTGGCGCTGATCTTAGCCCTTGAAAGCTCGATATGGGTGTATTTGCTCTAGGCTCGGGGTTCTGGTAAAAGGGTTGAATAGGCGTAGGAACTAGAGCGGAACTAATAGGTGGCCCCTGAGGTTGAGCTAGGTTCGAATTGGATTGAGTAAATGAATTCCATTCGGTACTCTCTGAGGGAGTAGGTGTTGATGTTCTCGGAGCGGTAATCGGTTCTATACCAGCCGCCGGGGCTGAACTATTTCGTGCGATTTTCGGAACAGGGGTTAACTTCAATCTAACTTCGAGGATCTCTCTAATGCCGGTTCCAAAAGCAGCTAGTAGGTTCTTCGTGACACGTCCCGTAACGAACTGCGGTGTATTAGATGAACTGGGTCCTTGATCGAGACCCCAGCTGAGCATGCCTTGTCCAACTAGGGGCACATCTGGCTCAGAATAGTCATAGGCATAGACAGTGTAGTCGTATTCATTACTGCTAATCAACTCCGGACTACACTGGGCTACCGCCTGTAGGCATGGCCTTAGATCAATGATACCAATGCGGTTCTGCTCGTCCACCGGGATCGTTTGGACTTGAAGAATGTGAGGCCAACGAGCGAGACATCGCTCCTGACAATCTTTGTCAAATGTATATTGGACCTTTACTACATGGCAATGATTAGTCCTTGAAGCATCATTCGAGGGGATCGACGATGCTTACACCCCATAGGCTTTACCTGTACTCCGTACTCATCGACGTCCTGACTACCACCCCAGGAGGCATTGCCAGGGTGGTTTGACATCTTCGTAGTAAAGAGACCCTTGGCCACTTATGAAGACTCTTCCGAGGCACACAAATAGGGATACGACAATTATAAGTGATTAAAAAAAAGATACGGTAAATTCAAGAGTTTTGGTTGCCAATTGTCGTTATCGGAGACGTGTCATAGTATCGAGTCGCTGCAAGAGTTTTTATAATCCCGACGCCGATTCAAGAGGATCTGGCGGCAGTTGAACGGTATTGAAAGGCGAGAAAAATCTAAAATCATATGGGAATCAATTGCCGAATTCAATAATGTATAAGAGGGTTTGGACTCATTCCAATTGGAATGCATAAAGTCCGACAATTGTCGAACAAGGGAGAAGGAAAAGTTGAAGAGATTGAAGAATGTTGTGAACTGACGAATTGAGGTACGAAGTACGAAAGTAGGTACAAATTGGGTGGAACAGATATTAAGGAAGTAAAAGTACCGGGCAACGCGCACTGAGGTGTTAGTGGGGATTCGCGCTAACAGTTTTCAATCAATTCAAGGACGCGTTTAAGCGTGTCTCGCGGTAGACGTCACGTCACTTGGGCACTTGGGTCGGGGGAGGCTGGGCTAAACGGAACGCTATGACCACCTGCACCCTCAATAAGTCGGTGGTCATGTGGAGCCGAGTGCACAGACCATATATGACGAGCTGGACAAGACGCTAGTACGTATTGAGCCAACAGAACATGTAGGCAGGCACAGGCACACCAACTCCGGTAGCTATAGCCTGTAGATTATTCTCAAGAATAATCCCCAAAAGATTTATTGAATATCTAAGGTATGTTTGCGAAATATGAAGCGGGGGCTCCGAGCGAATATTTATACCAGCCGAAAGGCTCCACATTTCTACGGTACCTTTAATGACTCAGCCACAAAATGCTATATATGCACGTATTAGCCCCCCCCCTTTCCCCCCCTTTACACCAATAGTGGATGTTAGGTCAATGCCTATTTAATCCTTGCCAAGGCATATGTCCTAGGCAACCTCTAGGTAACCATCCGTCTGCCGGAAAATCACCTACCAACCCCTACTCCGTTTGCATCGACGGATTTTCGTACATGAGAACCCCTGCGTCGAGATTCTACTGCCATCTCTAGCCGTTATCGACTTATCATAATATACATGAAGAGGTAATGTGGTATGATGGGCTATCCAGTTATTCGTCCACCCATTCTGCCTTGCCCTCCTCATTCACAATGGTCTTCCTGGATAATATTTCGTCCACGATGGCGTCAATGCCCTGCCTGCCTTTCCTCTTCCGGATGAATTCTTCCCGAATCTCACGGCGGGATAGTCCATATGACTTAACAGCCTCTCTGACATCGTCTTCGCTGGGTACACCAAATTGCCCGTAGGAATATTGGCTGTAGTCTCTATCCGTTACTAAATTCAACTTTGGCGGGCCGCCGCTGAGTTGGAAGAAAGGCGCGACAATGTCGTTGGGTTTTGTAATTTCTTCCAAGCTAGCTGGCTGCCACTGCGGGAGCGTTTTCGTTATTAGCCGCGCCGTGACACCCTCCACGAAGTCAGGGTGCTTCATAAACCTAGCAGCTATTTGGTGTTCTCTCCGGAATGCCTCCGCAATGGACCAATTGCGACCTTCCCTCATCTGTGTAAGAGCAACGTGAACTGAGGTTGGGGATCGTTGGTGTAGAGTTTCCAATGTTTTCTCAGCCCAGGCTTTAGTAGGGCCTCCTTCTGCTCGTTCTGCCCGCAAGGCAGCTATGATGTCGGCAACGCTATTTTTATTAAAGCATCGGTCAATGGCCTTCCTAAGTTCGCCGCCTAATAGGATTGGTTCTTTAGGTGGTAGTCCGGTCGCATATTCTTCAATAGTCATCTCGATAATAGCGAGGCGCTCTTCCATGGTGTTATAATCTTTAAACCGCAACTCGGCCAATCGCGATTCTAGACTTGGTAAACTAGTCGAGTGTAAGTAGTGCGTTGCAATTCCGGAGTAAAATACGTTTACTCCTTCAAGGTGTTCGCTTGTTAGGGCCAGATAGGTACCAACGGAGCCCGGCATCCTAGGCAGAAAGAATGAGGCGCCAACGTCCGGGAAAAAGCCTATGGTGGTTTCTGGCATCGCGAAGACTGTCCTTTCGGTAGCAATCCGGAATGGAGCATGAATACTGAGCCCTACGCCACCACCCATTGTGTAGCCATCCATAAATGAGATATATGGTTTCTGATATGTCGCAATGTAGTGATCTAACTGGTATTCCAAAGCAAAGTACTCTACTGCCTTGCTAGGACCTTTTTCTGGGTCTTCTTTGATTTGTTTCGCTAGTGCCTTCACATCACCTCCAGCGCAAAATGCCTTTGGACCAGCGCCCTTCATGACAATTACATTTGCCATGTCTGACTTCTCCCACTCGACTAATCGGGGGAATATCTTCCTGATCATAGAGCCGTTGAGCGCGTTATAGCTGTCTGGTCGATTGAGCTCAACGGTCCGCAGACCATATATGTTGTTGAAGACGACATCGTTAGGTTGGTCTGTATCTAGCTCCTTAGGGAGTTCTCTAATAGAGCTTGTAGACATCTACATCGACAAATCAGCGGACGTTCACCAAAGGGACACCAATTCCGACCATACTTGTGCTCGTGCAGCTTGGGGAGTAAGGATCTTAGCTCTTAGCGGCATGGTAGAATTTATGCTCCAGCAAGGAGAGGTGGCATTGGTAGCAGTGGTAGCTGCTGACCCAGCTCTCCGTATTAAGACTCTGAAAGACATTTAATCCAGTTCCCTTCTGATTCTCTGGATGCGCAATCCCTTACCTCTTTGCGCATCAAGGGGCCCAATTTTAAGGCTTTAAGGGTCCAAGGTTAAGTTGCGACAAGTTGCGACAAGTTGCGACAAGCGGTCTTTGTAATTCAGTCGGGAGTTGGCATTGAGATATCCTCGGGTTAAAAAAAAAACTGATATCTTTTACCGAAGTACCTAAGTACAAGGTGGGCGGGGAGATGTGTTGATGGCCCGGGTGTTAGGTACCCGCATAGGAAGGTCGTGGGCAGCATAGGTACCTCAGGTACCGTACCTGAGGTGCACTACTGCACCAAAGTGGAAACCTATTCCATTTGCATTAAGGACATAAACCTTATCCCGCTATGAATTACATACCTGTAATGAATTGAATTTATGTAATTTGGGTGTGGGCTTGGATGTGGGCTGAACGCGTCGTAGCCAATCAAATCTTTCTTTCTTTCTTTACCATACCCAAGACTTTGGGGATTTCAAGAACCAAACATCTCTCAGCCTCGCCTCGCCTCAACCTTCACCATCTATCGCTTTTTGATCCAATTACCTAAATCCCAACAATCAACATGGCCGATAATAAGATTCAGTAAGCTCCAATACTCATGCATTGCTATGATTAAATGCTAATAAGTCATTGTTTAGGGAGCTTCTCACCAAACCACGCAATGAACTGACGTATGTACTTCGTCCCGCGACCTACGTCTATTGTCTTCTTTCCTCTTTCCTAACGCGATAAACAGGGAATACGAGATCTCGCTCCTTGAAGAGCACGAATTCAGCGCCGGCCCCTTATCGATTCTGCAGACCGCTGTCCGAAGCCATACCCAGGTTCTGATCTCATGTCGCAATAACCGGAAGCTCCTAGCTCGCGTCAAAGCTTTTGACCGCCATTGCAACATGGTACTGGAGAATGTCAAGGAGATGTGGACCGAGATACCGAAATTATCAAATGGGAAGAAAGGCAGACCTCTTAACAAGGATCGATTTATTAGCAAGATGTATGTTACGGCATCCCCCTACGCATAGGTCAGTGACGGTAGGAGCTAATGTCATATCTTTTACAGGTTTTTGAGAGGCGATTCAGTCATCCTAGTCCTACTCAGCTAGAGAATCAAGGAGGGGTTCAGTTATACCATCTCACTTGCAAACGCGGCGTGCCTTTACTATGCGATGCCTAAAATAATCAGACAGGATGTGAAGACCGAGACAACATACTAATGCAGTAAAATGTCTTGTGGGAGTGCTCAGTATGGTAAATACTGCTAGCAGCTAAAGAAAGCTGCCTCGGAGGAGCATATTGAGCAACAGGAAAAGCCGTGATAATGGGATGAATGAAATAGGGCGCAGATACTATTATTAAATCTGATTAGCTACATATTCTGCACTACGAAACCGGCTCATTACCACTGCAAGACACATAAGTGAACCGCTAATTATACAGTTTCCCAGCTATCATCCTCAGATTTGATCCCGGCCAAGCCCAGGAAGAAACTCGCCAATCCCCAAGCGCCTGGATCAGGTACCTGCTCAAACCCGGAACCCCCAACATACACTGCCCGACCTAAGCTAGGTTTCATCCCCTTAGTATCCTCAGCAGCTTTCTTTGAAGCTTCAGCGGCCTTCTTGAGGTCCCCGGTCTTTCTGAGGACCTCCACGAATGGATATAAGGCATCTACCAGTGTGCGATCACCAGGTCTGGCCGGTGTATATCTCGATAGTGCATCGCAACTCTGCTTTAAAGCGGCAGCCCATATTTCAGGAGAAGCGTCTCCTGGTGCGAGGGTTCGGAGTGAATGGACCAGAGCGTTTAGGAAGATTGCGAACAATGCCCCTGAAGTGCCATCCATTGCATTCTCGACAATTGTGACGATACGAGCGAGGTCGACCACAACGTCGCCCGTGGCTGGCTTCTCTTTTATATGACTGAGGACAGCTGGGAATTGTTAGCCTAGGTTAGGTAGTTTTGTTAGGTTAGGTACTCTCAGTCTTGGCTTACCTTCAGCGCCACGCTTCAACCCGATACCGCAGTCGCCATCTCCAACCACAGTGTCATATCTTGTCACTTCTGGTTCGGCAGCGATGATGGCTTGCAAACCTGAAGCCAAGGCCTCATTAAAAGCACTCCCATTGGCTTTGAGGCCGCTTTGCTTGATGCTCTGGTCGGGACCAGTGCTGGTTTCCCTAGTAGCAGTATTATTTTCTTCCCATGTGGTTTTTTGGATCGGCGCTGACCAGCCGGTAGCTTCACACGGATAGTCTAATAGTTGAATCATGCTGGGACCACCGATATCTGTATTTACGACATTTAGGAGCGTAATACTGAACCCCAGGCCGTTCAAACTCGTCACTATAGTGCTCGCGATTAGTGATCAATGTTCAACGAAGGACCTCATAATGATAGAGGACCACTCACTGTATGTTCCGCTAAGGATTCTCACTGGCTGAATACCCCAGGATGATTTCAGCTGCTTTACCACCTCGGTAGTAATACCACCTAGTTCGAGAACACTAACACCCCCAAGGTTGTTCACGAGCAGCACTATTTCGTTAGAATTTACGTTAAGAAACGCTCTGTCGTTGTCGTTTTGGTCCAGAAGCTGCGACAACATCGTGCCTACAAGCTCCGGAAGATTAACTTTCTTTCGCCCTGACCCTGCCTCGTTATGGATACCCATTCCAACTTCTACCTCGCCTTCTTGAAGGCTCTCGGCGGCATTGGAACCGACTGCTCTCCCGGGCACATGCACGTGGTCAAGGCTGGCTCCGACGCTCACGAGATTGGCTGCGGTAAGTTTTGCGACCTTGTAAACTTCTTCGAGGCTGCGTCCCTGTGCTGCGAGGGCGCCAGCTACCTTGTGCACTAGTACCGTCCCAGCAATTCCTCTCCTGCCCACCTTACCCCCTCTTTCCCTGCCGACTCCAACGTCATCACCAACAATGACCATTTCGACGTTCAGGCCGTCAGCCTTTGCCTTCTCGACGGCCATACCGAAATTCAGGACGTCTCCAGTGTAGTTCATGACGGTAACCAAGACGCCCTTATTAGTATCCACTCTCGAAGTTATGGCCCTTCGTATCTGCTCGGCGCTAGGCGATGCGAAGATGGTCCCGGCTACGGCAGCGGAGAGTAGGCCAGAACCGACAAAGGCGCCGAAGCTCGGCTCGTGGCCACTGCCGCCGCCACTAATAATTGAGACCTGCGAGGGCTCATGACTGGGTCTCTTGTAGACAATCTTATTCTCAGCATCCAGGGCCACGGAAGGGTTCGTCAGAGTGAGGCTCTCGAGGGCCGAGTTGACCAGTAGAATAGGATCGTTGATAAAATGCCTCGCCGACATTTTCGGAACAATTGCAAGGACCTCACTTATTACGAGAACTTATTATGAGATTGGAACATGGAAGTGCGAAGTCCTTGTAGGAGTTTGAAAGGGAAATATTTCGCTGAATTAGATTTAGGCTTATATATAAATTATATGTACTTCATAATATGAAAAGGGGGAAGGGGAGAGCGAGACAGAGCATAGTTCCCCACCTGAATTGGCAATGGCCACTCAACATTGGCAGTGGCTTATTATTATCGTCAGGTCGATATGATGTGCAGGCGATTCGGGTGCCGTGTTGTTTGGGCTTGAACATACACAGTCCAAGAACTCCAAGGACTCCCAGGACCAGCTAATCGGTAAAGGCCAACGATCGGGAAGTGCGGGGTCTTCTCGCGGGGTTTGCTACCTAAGGTTAAGTAGTTGAAAGGATTTATTTAATCGGGGCTTGAATACGGCATCTTTCCGACTGGGGGAATACCGGGAAGAAGCCGTGTTATAGGTTGAAATTAATTAGTAGCTATAAATTCGAAGTTATTTCGCGCCTACCTGATACCATACCGTGTTGTGCGCACGCTGGAACACCTCAACATCGCATATATTCCCAGTCATATATGCTTTTTTACTCTTTACAGTATTCCGGGACTTAACGCCACTTAACAGTAAAGCAGTATAGGTGTTACTGTTACTCAGATCCACTAGAAAAGATGGACAAGGCAGGCAAGATACCACCTAAGCTTCTCCTCATCCGCTGTCACCAGGGCTTGCGCGGCTCTCCCGCCGGCATTCTAGCGGCTGATCTGAACCAAATATTTACCAGGATTACAATAAACAATTCGTCCGACTCGGTCTAAGGATTCAACAAAAGCATATTCTATTGATATATGAAACTTGTGTGATTGGTGCTTTAAGATTTTTGTTGAAAAAAACAGTTGGTCAAATGTGAAATGTGAAAGTCTTCAAATCATTGCTTCTGTGCTTCCATTACATGTGTAAAAATACAACAGGGAGTAATCCGGATTCCATTTGGGTGCGGAGGTTACATTGGTAGCAGATTGTGGCTAATTATAAAGTACTTGAGTACTTTGAAATACACTGACCCCTCTATCATGTGGCTTGGGCAATTCAAGAAATATTCCTTGCCCCGCGCTATGAGTCAAAGGTCCGGGTCTCTCTTTTGCGCAACCAGATTGGTCGCAAAAAAAGAAAAAAAGAAAAAAAAGAAAAAAACAAGGGAAAAGAGAGCTTCTCTAAATGAAGCTTGGGGTTTTCCCACAATTCTCACTCTAAGCTTAAGGCTCACGTGAGATTTGTCACATTCACTTAATGAGAAAACTTATACATTGGTTCCGTAGTTTTCTCAAAGCGCGGCGTTACCGTCATTCCGTTCGCGGTGAACCAGGAAGCACAGGCGTCGTCATGTCAACAGCTCAGGATGAGCGGCCCTCGGAGGCCAATTCTCAGCAAGCCCAGCAAGCCCAGCAACCTCAGAAAACCCAACAGACTCAGCAGACTCAACAAGCAATAAAACCTGAAAAACCTCAGGCCCAGAACCAGGCCCAGAAACCTACACAAAATGCCAAGAGCGCAAAGGCAGATGCGGCTGCGGCTGCGGCTGCAAAACCACAAAAGCCCTCAGGCGCGGAATTAAAAGCAAAAGCTAAAGCAGAGAAGGCTGCACGACGCGCCCAGGCAAAGGTGTCAAAAGAGGTTGCCAAGGGAGAAGCTGCGGTATCGTCAACTCCTGGCCAATTAGGCCCATCTGCAGGCGAGGTAAAAGGCGGCAAGGCGAAGGGCAAGCAGGACGGTGGTTCAGCGACTGCTTCAGGGGCAGCAGGAAGACCAGTGGTGTCTAAGGGACCCATACCTATCGTTCCAGCTGAACCGAAGTTCAAGATACCTGAGTGCTTTAGTCATTTGTCTATGGCCAAGAGGATCCCGATAACTCAAGCAGATAAAGATGTCCATCCAACCGTCTTGGCTCTAGGTCAGCAAATGGCCACATTCACAATTGATGAGAGTATCACGAGACTAAAAGCAACCCTGTTGGCCTTTAAAAAGGTATTACTTCTTCAAATCACAAGAAGCCCAAGTTTTACTGTTTTACTCATACCTCATATTCTAATACCGGTATAGGTCATTAATTCATACACTACCCCTCCCGGAAACACTCTTGCAAGACACTTAACACCTCATGTCTTGAATCCTCAGATCGACTATCTCACTGCATGTCGGCCGATGTGCTTTTCTATGGGAAACGCTATCCGTTGGCTTAAATTGCAAGTTAGCAAGATCGATCCTGACGTGCCTGAAGCAGAGGCAAAGAAGCAACTATGCAGCAGCATAGATACCTTTATCCAAGAACGGATCAGCATGGCTGATCTCGTCATAACAGAGAAGACTTCCGAGAAGATCGAAAATGGCGATGTTGTACTGACGTATGGATGGAGCACTCTCGTGGAGCAAGCACTTCTCCAGGCATACACAATTGCCGAGAAGAGGTTCACGGTTATTGTGCTCGATGACCCGTACGAGAGGAAGGGTCAAACATTAGCCAAGACTCTCACTGCGGCGGGATTGAGAGTATCTTATTGCGGTGATTTTGGTGGACTAAGATTCTACCTTCAGACCGTCACAAAAGTTATAGTGGCCGCCGAGTCCATGTTTAACAATGGATCCATGTATGCACGGTCAGGCACTTGTGACCTCGCCATTGCCGCAAAACAGCTTGATTTACCAGTCATTGTCCTCTGCGAGACCGTCAACATCACTGAGCGAGTCTCTACAGACTCTCTTACATACAACGAGATCGACCCAGAGCGAAGCTCAAGCGCCTCTTTCAGACTATTATATGACACTACACCCGACAAGTACCTGTCGCTCATCATATCAGAGCTAGGAGCAGTACAGCCAACTTCAGTACCGGATTTACTGCGAAAACTCGAGGAGTCCAATTAGAAGGGGGGCCCAAGGGAATCGAGGTATTTAGATAACAGGGCGGATTTGTGCTGAACTTCTCAGCCTACCTGTAGGATTTTAGCAAGAGGTTGAAGGCTTCCTAGTAATACCCATAACCGGGACAAAAGAAAATACAAGATCGATAAACCCGTAAAACATCGCGCCGTATACTTAGGGAAAAGAACATGCCGGTTTGCTCTTGATTTGATTTGCTTTGGTTTATTGACTCTTTATCCCGTAATTCCTCTTTTTGTATGTACACCGAACGGAGCATCATCCGACCGACACAGGATACTTCGTTGTTTTTTTCTTTCTTTCTCACGCGGATGCGCCCGCCTTCTCCGCATCCCTCGCCGCCTTCCTCGCTCTCTTTTCCAGAATAGACCGTTTGCGCTCCTCCAAGATAGCCGACTGCCTCTCGTCGACGCCCTGTAACCAATATCCGAAGCTTGCGCCGACTCCCGCAAACACGGGGTACGCCCATAGAGAGCCCCTGTTGAAAAAGGGTCGCATTTCGAGACCGAGCTGCCAGAAGCGGACGGCAACGCCTATATATGTAGGTAAGTACCTAGATCAGCCATGCTATGCTATGTTTTGCTTTGCTTGGGGGAATGTCGATTTGTTCTCGAAAAAAAAGAGGTCATGTTCATACCGAAGCCTCCCCAGAAAAGGACTCGATGCACCATTGCGGACTTGTTGGGAGCGGAGTATTGCCTCAATTGGCTGGTCGTGTTCTTTTTTTACTCTTTTTTTCTTGCTTCGTATAGTAGAGTAGAAGCGCTCTACTTGGGCACTTGGAGGGGGGGTAGAGGGGGCCTTTGGAGGTCGTGGACGGAGAGTTGAGATGGCCGAATTATTTGACTGACGTGAAGTTCGGCTCTGATTGTGGATTGGGGATTCGGAGCTTCCAATCAAACAAGGCGGAACATAAGCTCGCGCACAGACCAGGTGGGAAGCCAAATGCCATGCAGCCATGCTGGAATGCGATTGTGCAAGTCTCTTATCGGGCAGGTACATGTTTAGATTAGATAGTACCTAGGTACTTCGGTATCTGACGCTAGCTGTGTATCGTTGTAACTTCCCAAGGCTGTCAAATCAAGTGAATTTCCTCCCTGGTTCCATTCTCGGAGCTAAATCCCCAGGGTCTAAATCGTAACTAACTCAACTTTCCTCCGACCCTTCACCAATTTAATCATTCGCGTTTCTTTCCTTCGTAATTCGCGGGTTCTTTTTCTTCTTATTTTTTTTTCTTTTGAACAGCATTTCAATGTCCATCATTTGAAGAAACCCTGATACAATAAATTTGATTCAGAGATGAATCAAATTCGCATGTTCATTCCTCTTCTAGAATAAAATACTTTGGTCTCGCGAGGCCAGATGGCCTCGGCGGCCACCACCATGGCTTCCGCAGAGCAAACTACCACTCCAGCCACTGGCACTACTGCTCTCGCGCCTCGAAAGTTCAAGGCTTCGGATCTACCTTTGCCGTCCGCTACGCGATCCGCGATCGAGGGATTAGCCCATAGCTTTAAGAAGAAAGGTAGTTACGATGCAATTCGCAAGCAGATCTGGGAGAAATTCGAGCAGAGTGTGAGTAGTCGCGACTACTTATTATCCACGGCCCAGTGCCAGTGCCATATAGTTGCCAAACATCATATACTAATTACTGCGACCAAACAGGACTACGAGGCTCAGGTTACTAAATCTATTCTCGAAGTCGCCGAACAAGAACTCGAACGTAATCCTGCGCAACTTTTATCCATTGACCGTCGAAAGGCTGCTGCCCTTATTGACGGTGCCCTCGATCGTTCTGGAGTCTACCAAAAAGCTGAGGAGGTCCTTGACCAATTGATTGATGTGAAAGCTATCGAGACGGGCATGCGTGAACTACGCCAGGCCGAAATTGGCGTTGAGGCAGCTAAAGAAGAGCAAGAACGCGGCTCCAAAACAGACGCAGAGTACGCCGCCGAATCAGCTCGCAGCTTAGATGAACGCGACCGTATTCGACGAGAACTAAGGGCGAAGGAGGAGCAAATCCTAGAGGAGAAACGAAAGATTGAGCGAGAGGAACGCAAGAAGAGAGAGCGCGAGAGAGAGCGTGAACTAGAGAAAGCTGAAGCTAAGCGTAAAGAAGAGCGAGATGCTCGGAGGCGCGAACGCGAGAAGAAAGAAGCGGAGCGCGAGCGCGAAAGGGAGAAGGAGCGGGAAGAGCGCCGGCGCGCTAGAGAACGAGACAGAGAAAGAGATCAGGAACGACGCCGATCCAGAACGAGGTCGAGGCATAGGTCGCGGGAAAGGTCGCGACATCGCGATAGGGACCGTGAGAGGGACCGCGATCGCAGCCGCCGCCGGGATAGTCGCGAGCGACGGCACCGAGAGCGGTCCCCTAGGGATAACCGCGAACGTGGTAAGCCGGAAGAGCTTAAGAAAGAGCTCACCAAGGAGGACCACGAGAGGCTCGAGAGGGAAGCGCTTGAAAATCTGCTACGGGAGAGCAAAAGGAGTGCTGCTAAACAACCTGAACTCGAGGTTGATGAAGCTCTCGTACCGCCTCCGCGAAGGACGAAACCAGCTTCCGCAATACAACCTATACGTCGCGACTCTATTAAAAACTCAGACACGAAGAAAACACCAGAGCTTACAAAACCCGAATCTAAGGATACGTCTAGGGAAACCAAGGACACTAAGGAGTTGAAAGAGGCGAAGCCGCCTAAGGAGTCCAAGGACGCCGTTGAACCTAAAGAAGCCAAGGAAAGCAAGGAATCTAAAGATAGTAAGAGCAAAGAGGAGAGACGACCCAGCCCGGCCCCTTCGCGACACCATCGTGATCGATCACGTGGCACAGAAGATGACCGAAAACATCGCGATCGCGATCGTGACCGTGCTAGAAGTCGGTCTCATGCCAGATCTGATCGACGGGAACGGAGCCGATCAAGACATCGACCAGAACGCCGAGAACGCAGTCGTTCAAGAGACCGCGATCGAGTTGTAGAGAGAGATAGGGACTTTTACCGTCCGGGCCAGCGAGATAAGAGTCGTTCTCGCACACGAACTCACCGCGACAGGCACGAAAGAAGTCGGTCTCGGGATAGGTACAAGCCCGAGCGCAGAGAGCGAAGCCGTTCTCGACGCAGGGAGGATCGAGATAGGCGCGACCGAAGTCGTTCACGTGTTCGTCCTGAGAAGCGAGACGATCGCCGAGAGAGATCTCGTTCACCTAAATCAAAACCCGACAAACCTCGGTCGCGTCCTCCACGGAGTCGATCTCGATCTCGGCCAGCTACTGCTAGCAAGCCTGAAATTAGCGATGCTGAAGCCTGGAAGCAAGGAGAAATCAAGAAACGTGAGCAGGAAGCGAAAGCTTACCTAGCAGCGCAGCGCGAGGCTCGTGAGAAGGGCCTGCCTATTCCTGGAGTCGACGACAAATGGAGTACTGGGGAGCGCTCGCCTGAAGCTAAGAGGGCCCGTGTTCCTGACGACATCGACCGGTATAGACCTGGTGATCGCGACCGGACGGACAAATACCGAGAACGGGACCGGGATAGGGATCGAGATAGAGATGACCGTCGAGAAAAAGAAAAGGACCGCGATAGGGATGATCGACGAGAGCGGCGACACAGTCGAAGCAGGAGTCGCAGTCGCCGCCGGGACCGCGAGCGGCACCGGTCCCGCGACAGGTATCGAGGGGAGGGGACTCGGGACAGAGATCGCGATCATGACCGTGACCGTGATCGTGATCGTGACAAGTACCGCGATAGAGATCGTGACCGCGAGACAGATCGTAATAGAGATCGCGACGGAGATAGGGACAAGCGCAACCGTCGTGACAGGAGTAACGAATCACGACGCGACAGGGACCGGGATCGAAGAGATCGAAGTCGTAGTCGTCGACGGAGCCGCAGCCCCCGCTAGTCGCAGGGCCAGCCATTCCTTCATGATCTAGTACTACTGCAAGGGACAGCCCGTGGTCATCCTAACCGGGACCAAGCACAGCAAGTATTGAAGTAGACTTTTTACTGCATGTACTATTAAGCAGGGCGAATAAGGGGCCTCGATCTGGTCGGCATTATTTAAGGGTGTGTTCAATTCTAATTTGGAGGGGGGGTTAAGAGGGCTTGAGACCGAGCTACTGGACGTCACGGACTACAAAAAAGCTATACCCTGGAACTTTGCTAGGCGTTCAAGGTTTTTGCTATGTTGATAGGTGTAGCACAAGTCAGGTATTCTGGAAAAGCTATCTAGGTACCTAACCTAGTTACAAGCATGGAAGTGGTACAAAGTAATGAAGTGGTTTTACGTCTCACTGTTGTTATTATTATTTTTATCATTCGCGTATTGTGTATTGTAATACGTATTGTCTACATACGCGAATAGGTAGGAGTCAATTACTATTAGGTTTGGTACCTACATAATGCAATTGGCTCTGCATTGATTGGCATTGATAAATGTCGTACTAGGTTAGGATGTAAAGCGCATAAAACTGGCGGTTGTTGATGCCAGCCGCACCTAAAGATAGGCTACCTCTTATAGGTATAAATAAATAATGCACTGCGTAACGCGATGCGGTTGCCAAAACAAACCCCTGGAAGATCCGCGCTTACAGATGATTATCGAGGTGCACCTAAGCAAAATCCGCCAATGGTACCGGATACCTAGGTATCAAAGAGAAGACAAGAAAGACATAAGCTTTCCGTGGAATTCGGGCGCATACGGTAAGAGGTATTTCATTTCTTCAGATACATGACTCAGGTACGTAAGGTTAGGTAAATATGGTATGCTCCGTATATTAAATCGAGTTTATTTCGGATAGTTGAAGAATACATACCTGTTATCTAACTTGGATGCTTTGTATAGATTTCTTCGATTAAGGGGTTACCTAGGTAGGTATTAACTACTTAACAGGTAGGTAACTGCTTGCCACATTTTCCAACTCGAAGATGGAGAGAGAGGAGAGAGTAATATGAAGTCAATTACATTTAAATATTGCCAAGAAGCAGGATCAGGTGACGATGATACAGTAAAAGGGACAGAAGCGATTCAAGGGGTGGGGGGGTTGGTTGGTAGTTCGGATGAGATCTTCAGCGTTGTGAAAATAGGTCTCAGCGTCGTCATTAGAGCCTTGGGATTGACAGGGGTGAGGGATGTTTGGTTTAGCGTGGTGTAATCTGTTACCAACCTGTGGGAATTTGGAAAGAAGACGCATTGGAAAGCCAGACAGCTTGGAAAGTTCCCGCGCCACTTACCTGTTAGCGGCATAACATACGAAAAGGATCTGTGACATAATTCCTCAATTGTGAAGGCATTTTGTACAATACATTATTCAGCATACGTACCTCCATACCGTACCGTACCTTGCCTGACCTTAACTTGAGTACCTAGGTAGGTATATGTAATAATGTAAATTATATGCAAGTATCGTACCAGATGTGCTTTACTTCCTCGACCTATCTTGTGACGCGCACATCTTTTTAGGTAAGGTACGAAATGCAAGTGTCACAAGCCACAGGCTCCCAGTGAAGCCAGCTCAGGTTTTCCCCATCGTAGGGCGGAGTAACGGCACATGTACCTAAGGCAGTAGCATGTAACTCTGTAGGTACCTGGTCTGTCCCGTCCAAAGTCCACCTAGGCAAAGTATGAAATGGCAAAACCAGCCTTTGGAACTTGGAACCTTACTATGTAGAAAGATACCAAACCAGAATTAGAGCTTGCGATCATTCCTTCTTCCCTTCTCGTTCATTCTTATTCTTCCATTTTCCTCCCCTCTCGTGATACGCCATACGCCATACGCCGCACCTGCAAGGCAGGGAATGCTTATTTTTATTTTTGTTCTTATTCTTATTTTTCTCTTCCTTTCTACCAACCTCAAATTCCGTATTCCGTTCAATCAGCCAAATCGGTCAATCCAATTTCGACAGTCGAGTCAAAATCGCCCAATTTAACAACAAAAGCTATAATCGGCCCAGTGCGTCTTATTAAAAGTGCTAGCTACCTGCTAGCAAGTAGTAATAGTACGACGACGCACGACACTTTTTTCGAGACCCGACACCAGGTGATAAACTCCCCGTGTATCCATTTTCAAGGATCAAGAACCAATATCTCTCCTCAATCGAATTTCAACAATTTCATAGCCAACCCTTTTCCACCGCGAACCGGACAACCACCTTTTTTTTTGCTTAGATTTTGCTTAGATTTGTCTTTCGGAACTCAAGGGAATTTGTTTATATCTCTTTATTTTTGGCGTCCTCTCATTTCTTTTTTCTCATTTGTTCTTTTCTTTAAAAGATTTACTACATCGAGGTACTTCATCCTCGACAACTCGACATCCGAATGCTCGAGATTCGACGGTGAGGGAAAACCGTCCCCCAGTCTAAAAATCAACACTCCCCTCCCCCCTCATATTGCCACCGACCGATAAAACAACCCTCCAACATGGCGAGCCTAGACGGCATCCTGATCGGAATTTTATCCTCCTTTGGCTCTGCCATCCTGATAGCTTTGATTTTCCTTATCGTATACTTCTTCAGATATACAACTTCCGGACGCATCTTCCTCGGCCGGATCGGCCGGCCTGGCGAATATGACGACGAGCAGGCATTTGCTAGAGAGGAGGCGGAGGCCTTGGAGGTGATGGATGATATGCAGAGGACGGAGTACCTGAGAGCGAAAGGTAAATACTAAACCCGCAAACCAATAGCGCCCGTATATTTCCTTATCATGAAGGACGGTATATTAATAAATGAGGTAGCATTTATTCAAGCGAACCCGCCCGAGTCACTTCAAACAGACATTTCTTTATCGCAATATCTAGCCATACAGGAGAAGGGTGTTTCAGCGTGGGAGTTCGAGCCGGAACTGGAAATCGCCAACTGCTTCGTCGAGGCGAGAACTGAGATTGAATTCTTCGATTCGGAATGCACAGTCATGAGCAATTTGCCGGTACCAAAACAGAACGAAGTATACTACTGGGAAGCCAAGATCTACGACAAACCCGAGACCACACTACTTAGCATTGGCATGAGCACGAAACCTTATCCATTATTCAGACTTCCAGGTATGCAGGTACATTCAAGTCGACTCTGTGTGTACCCTGAAGCTAACCTTTTGTCATCTAGGCTTTCACAAACATTCTGTCGCATATACTTCTACCGGTGCCCGACGGTTCAATCAACCATTTAGGGCGAGCACCTACGGGCCTGGATATGTTCAAGGCGACGTTATCGGCGTTGGCTACCGTCCTAGGACAGGCACCATTTTCTTTACGCGCAACGGCAAGCGACTAGACGATGTGGTTCATGGTTTGAAATCTCAAAACTTTTTTCCATCTGTCGGCGCGAACGGACCGTGTACTGTACACGTCAACTTCGGCCAGGCTGGTTTCGTATTTATCGAGGCAAACGTAAAGAAATGGGGATTGGCCCCAATTACCGGCAGTCTGGCACCGCCGCCACCTTACGGAAGCGAACAGGGAAGCATTCTACTCGAGACCGGACGCAGGAAAGACGAGCAACCCGGGTCGCCTTCGAGGACACACGGTTATACGCAATCGGTTCAACGGTATACTAATAGTGGTGGTCCAGGCTTAAATCCAGGACATGGGCGGACAAGAAGTGGCAATTTTAGAGTACTTCCGCCTACGAGTCCAGGACCACAAAGAAGTCCTACTGATATTTCCCTTGCGCAGCTGGTTCCTTCGGATGAAACAGGCGAAGCTAGCAATGCTATCAACGCTAGCGGGGACCAAGTCGTCGATGTTGTCGGACTAGGTTTGCACGAAGCGTCACATCCGCCACCTGAATATACTAGTCCGGAACACTCGGATGAAGATAGCTCGGGCAGCGGTTCCGATAGCGATCACGTTCCACTGATCAGGTCAGGACGTAGCCGCGGGGCATCCGCAGCTACTATAAGACCAAGCAATCCCCCAATTCCTAGCTATAGTGACGCTGTTCGACAAGGTGCTGGTAGGGACAGGAGCCGTAGCGAAAGCGCCATGCCCAGCCGGAACGGCACGCGAACAGGCTAGGTTGTCCATAAAACCTAGAGTAGCCAAAAAAAAAAAAAGGATTTATCACCTAGCACGGAACAGGGGAGTTTACGGTCAGGAAAGGGAACAACGACACTTTTTTGCTTTGCTTTTGCGCCACAGAATCGTTTTTGGGCTACGACAAACATTGGCATTGGGTCAGGTGAAACTTTACTCCTTACATGATACCTCAAACAGAACCTTTTTTTTCTGGTCTTTTTTTTTTTATCTCGCATCGTTTAGCGGCATGGTTGGGGGAATAGTGGAATAGGAGAAAGGGTTTGCCTTAGGTGCTTACTACCTTGGTGTCTTTTTTGTTGTTGTCGTTATCGTTGTTGGCTTCTGTCTCTCTTCCGCAAGAGGAATTGAAAAAAGTAAAGTAACCAAACAGGGCTGGAACTTACTAGAACTACTACTACTTACTACTACTACTACTACTACTACTACTACTACTGGTACTGACTTACTACCCCCTTACTTGCCTGGCCCGCTCTAGACAGGGACGGGAGCCGGAGGCCAGGATGGAAATAGGGGGATAGGGAATAAGGGGTACGGGATAGGTTAGGTTAAAGAAACCTCACATGTCATATACTAGGAAGAATAAAAAAAATACACCAAGGTTGATAGAGTATATCTATGCTTGCAGATATGAATGCCTGGTGCTTGTTATATTTTGAATATTCCAACATGCTTTCCGACTCGACGGCCTTCATCGCATATGGTAACTTGAGGATATCTGAATTACCATCAGCTAAAAGAATTAGACATTGCTTTCTTCGTATGCATAACAAACAGGTAACTACCTACCTGTATGCTCCCATTCTCGTAGTAGAATTAGACGCAAAATGAAAATTGAACTTGAAAGACTTGACTACGGGACGAGACTACCTGCTATATAGCCTCTCGCACGATATAGCGTAACTGGCTAGTTCAACACTTAAGATACCTAGGTAGGTAAGCGATTATCTGACCCCAACTACTTCTTGTGATATAATACTCACCTATCAGGTAGGTACCTACCTAAGGGAACTTACGCAAACCCGACGAACTTAAAGCTTCCCAGTCAAAGTAAATGCCATCAAGCGGCATTACTCAGAAAGCCCCGAGTTCTGATGAAAAGTACGTAAATGTCAGAGAGATCCCGTGATGTATGTCGTGCGTAGAGTGAATACTAGAGACAGTAGCACGTATGGAGTATCGAGTATGCAGTGTAGAGTAGTGATCTATTAGCGCTTGCCCCTCGAAGCACCTTCTTAGGAGCAGCTCGCTCCTTATATACACCTATCCTAGTGGGTCTCATGTTCTAATCCGTCCTAGTGTTCTATACCCCTGACAGTAACGAGAGAAAGAGGGAAGTAGTAGAAAGGCCCTCGTCTAGCTACCTTATATACACGATGGTGACCCGCTAGGGGTCCACACCAAGAGGTCGACAGGGCCGTACTGTAACAATCTTCCAGCGTTGTGAAGCCTCCTCTGTGATACTTGTAAGTCAGGAGTTCCATACGAGTGGCACTTATGCTGAGTGATAGTTGGCATGCCTATACAGAGTGAATGTCGGTGTTGTACATATATACCCTGTATCCCACGTATCCCAGTTTCCATGCTTCTTGGTCCGCCTCGTGATTTATTAGAGGTAAGGAGTTCTTGCACACCTTAATAGATGCGAGAAGAACGCTTTAAGTGGTGATAGTAGAGTTGTAAGGAGTCTTGGACCTCGCATGACGTGCACTAGGAGGCATGAGATCTTCGTATATCTTGGATAAACCGAAGTTGCGTACGCCTGTCAGGATTTGTTGCCCGTGATGGATATCGTATACAGAGTGAGTGTCAGGGAGGGCCTAGTATGCAGTATATTGTAGATGTCTAGTAACGCCTGGTCTTCTAACCTCCCTCGAGGGAGCTGGCTATCTTCTATATGGACGATACACCCCTGTAGTTATGGACGTGGGCTGAAGCCATGCCGAGGGAAACAATGGGATCCAGACGGCGGGTTTGAATGAGGGAGCATGACATGCGCCAGTGGGTGTGCTCCTCGGAGGCCGGCAAGCAACACCGCCAATATTGCTAGAAATATCATTCTCGAGTTGGCCATGCCGGGTGTCCGTAAGGCTTCGTTGAAGCTCCTGGCGAGGGCGAGAAAGCGATACCCGCGGGAGGAAACCTCCAAGAATGTATGGTCCATTCTGTAGGAGTGTTGAAACGGAGCCCACACAAACCGAGGGAGCATTCTCCACAACATTCTCTCCGAAAATGTTGTGGGATTCTGTAGATGGCATTAGAAAGTTACCCAGTGAAGAAAGAAAGCATTGGAATAAGGTGAATAGTGTAGTTGCTTAATGTCTGATGTGAACTTACCTACCCACAGAATAGGCCCTTGATTTGGACGTTTAGAATATGAGAGTTGCCATCAGAGCCAAGGTCAATAATAACGGAATTAGAATATGGTAAGTGCGGATAAAAGGTAGGTTACGTAGGCGTTGGCTTGACATTCAAGTTGAGTTGTAGTATGGAATAGTTGAGTGGTTTGTATTGTATGTTGGTGGTTGATATGTAGGAAACAGAAATATTTTGCAAATAGGCAGAATTATTTATGATTTGGAAAAAAAAGAGGAAGGACAAAAAAAAAGCCTGGCCTAATAAACCTAGAACACCTTAGGGGGGCAAGTAGGTGCCTGAAATGATTATAAGAGCAAGAGCGTCCTGAACGAGACTTCCTGCCGACTTTAAAACTGGAAGTTGCAAAGGAGCCATTGGGTACCTACCCTTGATACCTAAGGTACCCGTAAGTTTGCCTACCTGGTACCTCGCAACTGCCATTAAAATTAACTTAATGTAAGGTATCTACCTACCTATGTAGGTATAGGTACCTAGGTATCTTATATATGTAAGTCTGGACAAGGCTGCGATTATTCGATATTTAGTTCCAGGAACCTTACGTTTTCTGTTCTGTTACTTTAGGTTGGGTACCTAGGTAGGCATTGCATAGAACATATAAAAAGCAACAGCATCTATAGCGAAACTAGGGAGGAAACGATAATATAACCAGGTGAGTAAGTTTTCTTCATAGTTAATACCTGCATCTTCTCGCATCTTTACCTAGAGACGAGAGATGGTAGAACTACCTCCTATCTAGCTGCCTAATGTGTTAGGAGACTACGTCTTTTTGCTGGGTTAAGAGTTGCCAAGTCTGACAGTATAAGGCTCTCCAGGTTGTAAACACGATTATAAGCTGGATATAAAGCCCCTTGTATTAAGTAAGTAGGTACGAAGTCAGGTACCTAGGTAAGTATTGTATTTCTTGTAGTTACAACACATCACACATTTGAAACTTGAGTCAAAAAGAATATACTTGCTTAGAGAAGTCTACTAAATCGTTTATACGTTTCGTTAACACTACTAGGTTAAGAGGGCAGTAGAAGACGATTAATAACTAGAGAACTAGGTATTCAGAGTCTTGCGATTACCATGGCGAAGATGTCTGTGATTATAGAACTACTAGGAGCTAAGAAATAGGTAGGTATGATTATAGCAGTAACCTAACCCAGCTCTAACTCTGTCTAAGCAGCGTCTAAGGAGTTACATATATTACTACTATAAACTTTCGAACAAATAGCCCTTTCACATTTAAGATAGTAGTTTACGGTCATTGGCATTGGGGCAGTATAATAAGTTGGCAACGAGGAACGACATCAAGATTAGGAGTCACAACTGTCGAACATTAGACTAGTATTCATGCGAACACTCTCCTAAAAATAAGTTAATACAGAAATCGGAGCCTGCAACATTCAAGATCCCAATGACTGACTATACGAGCACGCCGCTCCTTCACTGCCCACACATCTCAGTCATTCAGCACCTCGTCCTCAGGCCTTGATATCCAGATCTAGCCCTCGCACTGTATTGTGCAATACCAATGCAGCACAGCATGCTCGCCTATAGCGCGCCGAGCACCGTCAACGGTGACCACGAGACCTAGGTTAGGTAGGTAGGGAGGCCTGCCTCATCGAAGCGTCCAACACAGGATCTAAGCTAGGAGTTCGTACAGATCGGCACGTTTCCGGAAAGGGGATAGGAGGGGGCGTTCGAGTCTAGGTAATACGAAGCAAGCAGTGTTAGCTACCTAGGTAGGTTTCGTCCAATCATTTCTTGGGCTGGCAGGATTGGCGATGGACTCAGCTGAGGGTTAAAAAATTCGAGAATTTATCTAGGTATCTGCTAGGTGTTTACGTAGAACGGCAAGCTCCCTTACCTTAGACATATCATTTCCTTTTTCGCTGTGATGTCACTTCTGTATGATGTATGTAGGTGCTGAATTTTATTAAATACATCTAGGTCAGGTAGCTATTAGCAGCTGAGTGCATAGTAAGTAGCATCAAGTTGTGTGGTGTTGCGTTGCGTTACGAAAAGCGACATGTCACTTTTCTCCCATGATGTTTCCAGCCCAAGCGCCACTGGGCGAGACCTTCGAAGACCGTTCCGCCTTCAGATTATTAATTACCACGTTACGTCCTTAGTATATATCAATGAACCGATATCCGTGATATATCCCACATTATATTGAGGAAGCCGTCTCTTTTCGCTCCCGAATGCGTCGCATTTCAGCTATTAATTTATTTTCCAGGTGCTGTCACCCCCCTATCTCAGGTCTGAATTCAACAGGTGCCTAGGGTCACCAGGTCACCTGAAATGAAAATAGAGGGAAACCCGGCGTCCGCGAAATACGATTCTGGACATTGTTAAAGTCGATCCTCACGGATCCAGCCCGGTCTGAAATATTTTCTTGTATTTAGGTAGGTAGGTAGGTAGATATGTACGTTCGTCTAGGTAACCTCAAGCCCCGACGGATACATATGTACGCAGAGAAAATTGAGAGCTGAATTGTTTAAACAGATCACGGAAGTTCTTCACCACCAATATTTCTTTTTCTATCAGGTCCGGTTGAGAGATGACGAGCGAAGGTCATGTGATACAACCTGATAAACAATGCCATCACTTTGTAT